GACGTCGTATACTCCCTCACAACCATCTGCAGAAAGGTTTTTACCGCCGGAGAACCCGTGAGGCTGACGTTGACCCGCTCTTAACGATCTTGGCGAAATGGAATCAGATGTGGCTACAGACTATCGTATGATGTTTCGTTGGTATTGCCATTTTGAGATGGTCAAGGATTGGAAAGAGGCGGAGACGTGGCAGATGGTTATGTACCGCCTTCTTGAGAGCTATAACCTATTCCAGACGTCAAACCCGTCAGGCTTATCTCGGCAACCCCGGGTACATGATAATAATCAGGCATTGCTAGTAACCTGTATTAAGAGGTAGGTTTCATGGCAGAGTGTAAAGTATATAAGTCGTCTTTCCTCAATCACTTGGGGGGAAAGTGTTCTGACTCAGTCTTGCTTTATCTTGTCCAAATGTCTACTCTAAAATTCAAGGCATGGCAGCTACCGAAGCCAAAGCCGAAGCCGAAGCGAACAACTGCTGCTCCTACATCAAAAACAAACCCTCAACAACCTATGAGCTTCCTCCAGACGCCTTCGATCCACAGCAATCTTGTCCCTCGAGTCGACAATGAGGCACTCAACTGCTATCAGACCCAGAGTGTCCAGCGGTCCCCTGGGGGAGGTTTCACTGTTCAAACCTCATTAGAGCAGGACACTGGAGCTTTCAGTCACGGGAAACCATCCAATGACGACCCGGCAAGCATTTTAAGCCAGCCCAGCGCATTCCTTGGAAATGCTGGTGGTACAGACTTGGACGACAGTACTATCAGCCTTTGCCAAGCCGCTGCTTCTACGGAACAACTATCAGCCTGCCATGACATTAATAACACTACAGATATATGTAAGTAATATACCTAGTACGCGAAAGCTTTGACTGATCTTATTACCTAATAGCAGGTATTAAAGATTATGACAATAATTATAGCAGCCTAGAGAATGCCAGCCACGACGACTTTATCTCGTCTCAAGCCATACCTGCGTCGAGCTTGGACTGTACAAACGACCTCGAGGATGTTGAAGCCCATTCTTCAGCGGCCGAAACTCACCCTCGGGCTGAATTATCTGTGGATCTACCGACGGCCCCCTCCCCTATTACAGAAGTGGCAACACCGCCAAGAAGCTTACGCTTGCTGCCTTCTCGAATGCCGGTAGGCAAGCTGGGCGAGTCGATCCCTCATCATGCCCCCAGCCAAACTGAGCAGTCATCCGGTGCTCGAAAGCGGCATGCAAAAAGTCCGCCCGCAAACCTACCAATGGAGAAGCGAAGGGCTAGTGGCCGATCCCTCCGTGGCCGATCCCTCCGTGACCGAACCAAACAGAGAACACCTATCTTGGAGGGTGTAGTAGACACCAAGCGAGATCGGTCACGTGAACTTCAAAGCCGAAATCGACAATATGAGAACCTTCATGCAAGCACTCGAAGTAGTGGCAGGCCTGGTCACGAAGTACCGGGCTCAAGAAAACTTGCCTCTCCTACTATTGCAGTTCCAGAACCACTTACAGCAAGCTGTGGCACTTGTAGCTTTTCTGCTAGACATATGCTTGAGTTATGCAATTCGGTTGAAGCTCTTTACAAAAAGGAGAACAGTATGACCATAATGCAGCTGTTTCTTGGTTTCATTTGTAGTCATGCCACCCAGAGACTTGCCCAAGGCGGGCAGGCTGCAGATATGAACCGCTCCCATGATGGTGTGGCTCGCAGCCCCTCTGTTATTCCTTCCATAACGCCAATACCTCTAAACAGCATGCGAAACGGACGCATCGAAAGCGTTGAGAGCGATAGCGATGCAGGAAGCCAGGCAGGTAGCTATGACTCTATCCCGGACCAAAGTGCCGGTTTAGGAGAAGAGGACGACACAGTGGTCAAGAGAAGTCGATGGACAGAACTCAAAGAACTTCAACTGCGGGGGTGGGTGGCAGAAGAAAAGGGATGGCTATGGATTGCAAAGAAGTTGCACCGAAGCGAAGGGGCCGTCTCACAGCATTGGACCATTATGTCAAAGGAAGGCTGGGAAGTATAACAGGTAAACAGTGTCTTATTAAAGGCTTGTTTATCAGGCATTTTATTGTCTTTGTTGCATTTGCTTGTAGTTTAAAGGGCGCTTTTGTTTGATAGATATTGGCGTTATGCAGTGTATATTCCAAGTTATACAGGTTTAATTGGCGTGACTTTATTAGAAAAGACAGGTCAGTAGATTGATGTTATAGGCCATATGGCACGCCCTAGCAGAGTAAGACGGGGTGAAAGGATACATACCGTTGTCATGCTGGCAGAATAAGATGGGCAGAAAGGATACGTACCGTCGTCATGCCGGCAGAATAAGACGGGCAGAAAAGGTACGTACTGTCATTATGCCCGGGCAGAATAAGATGGGCAGAATAAGATGGGCAGAAAAGGTACGTACTGTCATTATGCCCGGCAGAAAAAGATGGGCAGAAAAAGTACGTACCTACGGCTAGGTGTGGCAGAATCGGTACGTACCTTGGTGGGGTTTGGCAGAAAAGGTACGTATTTGTCAGCGCAGATTCCACAACATAAGCAGAATATCGCTAATCTGTGCACTACCTTAGCTGAGGGGAGGCCTACCCGTGCCACGCCCCACTTTATTCAGGATTCGCCCGGGCTCACCAGCTCAAGCTGGTGCTGGACACCAAAACACCCAGTTTTTCAATCTATCCAACTAGAAATGCCTCAACCACCTGCAACTGTGGCCAGATTCGTAGATTTCCGCCGGTGCCAGTCTCCCAGAAAGCCTCTGTTTGCGTGACTCCTTTGCTGCTTCGGAAAACCAGCGTTTCGCAGCATTGCGAGCCCTTAGATCTGCTGCTTCAACCATCTTCCTCGCCTTGACTATCTGGTCTTCTTCCTTCTGCTGGACCATCCGCCGGCCATCAGCTACTGTCAACACCCCTCCTGACTTCAATGGAGTATTCTTGGTAGCCCGGCGTTGTTTTTGAACGCGCTCAGCATATTTAGTCCTCCCCAGGTCTCTTTTAGTCTGGACCAGTTCCGTGGCACTTATTAGAGACCCTTTGATAAAGCGGCTAATATTAGCAGCAAACTCAGGATCAAGACTTTCGTCGCTTTTCAGCGCTGTGTCTAGCTTATCAGCCACCTTGTTGATCTGGCGCAAGGTCATTGGCGTGCTAAATGGCGAGGAACCTGCCAAGGTAGGGGGAGTAGGTGTCCTTTTTGGCTGTCGTTCTTCTAGGCTTTGAAGCACCGGCAGCGGGTTATATGGCCAGATACCAGTCTTCTGGAAGGCAGAGAGAATCGTACTAGACTTGAATGCTTGCTGGCGGACCTGCTGAATACAGCTAAGGAACTCAAGCTTCGTGATGTTCACCAGGCCATCACGGACCATTAAGTCTAGTGCCTTTGCGTGATAATGCTTCAGTGGCTGGAAGACTACCACGTCTAGCGGCTGCAGCAAGTGCGTCAGGTTTGGAGGCATGCCAAAAGGGATGATGCCGTGATCTTCGCAATATTGAATAAATTCAATCGTATGGTGTGAACCATGGCCATCTAGAATAAAGAGCCGTTTCGTCCTAATGGCTTTTGTTGCTGTGTATTTTTCAAAATGCTTTAGCCATTTCAAGCTGATTTGATCATTTGAATAGCCGCTAGAAGAAGGGATAATAGCTGTATCTCCATGTAGTTCAGGTTGTTGATACCATCAGTCCATATGGTGCTGGCCTGCCAGAATCAAAAAGGCTGGTATGTGTTCTCCACCCGCAGAGATGGCTTCGATAGCAGTAGCAGATTCCCTATTTTCAGGGGTGCTGAAATAGTGGGCTCTCTTTCGTTTGGTGACGATAAGCTGGTTCTTTCCAACACCTATGCGAAAGCCAGTCTCGTCCATGTTCCAGATATCTTCGGGAGGGATACCCTCTGCTTTGCATGTCTCCTTGAGCTTCTGGAAGTACTGAGCGACTCGCTCGACGTCTTCTGATGCCTCCCGGTCCGCATGAAGCTGCTTCTGAAGCCGCTGGTGGTATCCATAGCGCTTGATAAAGCGACTGGTCCATTTTTGGCCAACAGTAGGTGGGCTGTTCCGTATAGCTGAAGGCGCTCGCTCGCTCAGAATGTGATTTGCAGCGTCGGTAATAAACTCAGCGCGTACAGCAAGGTTAATACGATCAAGACGATCAATATAATGACATATTGCAACCTCTTCAGCAGGTGTTAGCTTTGTGTTTGCTGCTGGTTGGCCTTTTCTTGCTGGACGGCCCTTGAGACGGTTTCGAAGGCGATCGCGAGATACGCCAAATTCGCGGGCTACCGTGGCGACTTTCGAACTGGAATGGGTTCCAATATGCTGGACAGCTTCCTGCAAGCGTGCTTCCATTTTACCGAATTGAATATGCTTTGAAGCTGCTGAAGAAAAGTGTGATCTAGAGGGAATGGTCGAAAAACTGGGTGTTTTGGTGATCTGTGTGTTTTGGTGTCCAGCACCAGCTTTAGCTGGTGAGCCCGGGCGAATCCTGAATAAAGTGGGGCGTGGCACGGGTATTCCTTTGGCTTCACTACCTGCCTTCGACCCCTCCGCTACCCATTTCATCCTTTGGCAGCTAGGTTTTCAGATCAGCCGGTCTTGTCAACATGTTTTTGTTTTGGTCACAAGCTCCTTTGCTCCTTTCCTTCCTTGATGTTACAACTACTAACTGGATGTGCGGATAGAGACTTGGCTCCAAATATCCTTCTTGAGATCAATCTCCGTGAACGAGTGAGTGCAGTATGAACGGTGATGAGTTGTTGTATTCAGAAAAAGGTCTATCAACTGTTTGCTGGTGGTAGAATACCCTTATACCAGCTGTGGGGCCCTGTGCCACACGACACCGTGGCACGCCGCCACATACTGCTTACATACACAGATGGATACTGCTCACACTTCTCTATCAAAGCCGATCCACGCGACACGTTACCTACGGACCTGCCCTCCGACACCCTCGATACTACCGCCGTCTACATTACATCCACAACTCCGCCACTGTTCAATATGGACACTGCTAGCTATCAAACGGCAAGAGTTAAGGTCGCCGCTTTGGCTTGCTGTTTGAGCTGTAGCAAGAAGTACGACCCAGCACGCAGCCCTCGATAGCATCATTTCCTATACACCAACGACGATGGGACCGTCAGTCCATACGACAGTACCCGCCACGACCATATTGCCATACGCGAGATCCTGCAGAACATTCGATCGATAGCAGTTACCTTCCGCGATGGGCTTGCGGATGACGTTGTCCCTCAGCTGCTGGCCAGGCTGCTGATGGCATTCGAAGCCCAGGAGGTTGGCATGGACGAGGTAATGGCATTGGCTGCTTCATCGTTTCGGGACGAGGCAGAATGGGTCTCGCAAGAGACGGCCCGTCACCCTGGCTGTAACCGGATCACCTGGTGGATCATGGACAACGACAGTGGCAGTCCCATGGCAGACGTCAGCATTTAGATAATGGCAGCAGCAACGGAGTAAAATGTATTAACAGACGCAGTGCTCTTCACATCGTCAGACACTGCGCCCTGTATACCGGCCTAAAAGTTAAGAGGTCGACAGGCAGGAAGGGATAAGGTGCCATTGTCCCTATGCTGTTTTAAACGTTAAGCACGAACAGCCCGCAAGCCGCTCGTTTTAAACACACACTGCAATACTTATATATGACTTTGTGGTCGGTTTCCTTGCTTCCTGACCATCTGACACATTTTATTAAGGAAGTCGAGTTGCTAAACTCAGAAACAGTCACTGCTCAAGACTTTCAGCGATTCTGTTGTACCTATTCTTTCTCGCTACCATGAGAGCAGTGTCCCCTTGGTCGTAAGACGGCCGAGTATAAGGTGCATTTCGGATAGTTGTTTCCGAGATAGTGCTGACTTTGTTCGTGGTCAGGAGTAGGCGGACTACCTGTTCATGACCATGTGCCGCTGCGATCCACAATGGTGTCATACCCCATATGTTCTGTGTATCTGGTGGTGTTCCGGTCTGGAGAAGCTCTTTCACTGTGGTCGTGGTTCCTGATGCTGCCGCGTTATACAGTCTGGCGATGGCAAAGTCCTCCTCTTGAACAGTGACGATGCAGGCTTGGCGGGACAGGAAGCGAAGAATGTCGAGTTGGCCACAAGCAGCAGCAATACGTAAAACAGCACTAGAGATGAACGATCTGGTCAGTAGGCTTCGGTGAAGAAGCAGCGCCATCACCTCCTTGCCATTGCCTCTGTTCCCTGCTGCCGCCTTGACCACTTCTTCTGTGATGGAAACCTCGTCTCCTCGTCGGTTAAGAAGCAGCTCCATCACCTCCTTGCCATTCTTCCCGTTCCTTGCTGCCGCCTTGACCACTTCCACTATGATGGAAACCTCGTCTCCTCGTCGGTCAAGAAGCAGCGCCATCACCTCCTTGCCCTTGCCTCTGTTCTGTGCTGCCGCCCTGACCACTTCTTCTGTGATGGAAACCTTGTCTCCTCGTCGGTCAAGAAGCAGCGCCATCACCTCCATGCCATTCTCTTCGTTCCCTGCTGCCGCCTTGACAACTTCCTCTGTGACGGGGACCTCGTCTCCTCGTTGGTCGAGAAGCAGCGCCATCACGTCCATGCCATTCTTTCTGTTCCTTGCTGCCGCCTTGGCCACTTTGATACTGTTGCGTGGTCACGTGACCCACTTGGGTTGGCGTATTGTCCACATCCACTGCAGCTGCGCACCACCTTCAGACCTTCTAACAACAACAACAGCACCAATACAGCAGATTTGCATCCTTTCTGGCCTTCTTGCTGTGCAACAGATACTCATACGTGCCTTGTACTCTAGTAATTGTGTGATTATAATCTCATTCCCACCAATGGCTGCCGCACTCAGTGGGGTTTCGTTGTGAATATCGTCCGACTCTAATATTGCCATAATATCAGAAGCCATCTGCTGATGTGGACTATTACACACGTAGTTAAAAATGGCCGGGATGCCACAATATCCTGCGATGTGTAAAATTGAGGCTCGTCTTGGGAGTATCACATGAACCCTGTACCGGCCACTGGCTCTATCAAGCCAAGCGTCTCTATGTGGAGAATTGACTTCGAAAAAATTCGTCTGCGTATGCTTGACTTTGAACTCGTCTCCTGCGAGTCACGCGTGTGAATCCCAATAATCAGATCCGTAGGAGGAGAACTCTTCCTCCCACCGTGAACGATCCTTGATCAGCTCAAAATCGCGAATGAGCTGATCTACACACTTGTATGCCATGTCTGCATGGAAATACCCTGCTGCAGTTGCTTCATGAGAACCTGCTGCGATTCTTGATCACACTCATCCAAGGCATCGATGATGAAGAATTTATGGCCGGTGGCTTCATCGGCGGCCATTTTGTGCAAAACAGTCCATAAAGCGTCGAATGAATCAAAGATCTTCTTTCCACGCTCGCGGTATTTTGGCAGGAGATAGTCGAGGAGAAGTCGCGGATGTTGTTGAATGAGCTGCAGGATAAGCCCTCGGACCACTGATGTCACTGACCTACGGGTGTCGAAACTGGAATCGCAGAAGAAACAGGAAAGGGTTTTCTGGTCTGAGTGGCGGAACTGCTCCCGGAGTACCTCGGCAAGGCAAATGGCCATAGTGGACTTCCCAGTCCCTGGGTTCCCATACAGCCAGAGAGCATTGGTCGATGCCACCGCGTGCTCAGGGCCGAGCCAGGAAGCGAGCTCTTCTGTCTTGAGTATCCATTCGCAAGTGCCTTTGGCGCGGCCACCCTTCTTTCGTTGCAGAGATTTCATATCCTCGAAAGGATCCGTTTCGAAAAGATCGGAGTGACATTTTTCAGCTTGTGAACTTTCGGCTAGAACATCTTTTATACCAGTTAGCTAGGCCGTTTCATCCGAGCCAAAGGGCCGACTCACCTTCTAGTTTAGTATCTATTACGTGTGATTAGTATCAGCAAAAGAGCGAGGGGAGATAAGAAGGTATTTCTCTAGAGATGTACTATGACGTACTATCACGAAAGCTTCTCGCCACGCGAGGTACATCTTTGGCCACAATCGTTTCGAGCCTTTGCCGCACAACGAGATACATGCCACGGATGTTTGAGTCATATTTTACAAGCCCTGAGTGATCAGCGTCCAGGCTGACATTGTCTTCATCAGCTTCCGCTGTCAAGCCTGTGCTTGTAGCGGACTTCTTTGTTACCAGCAGCATCTGCGGACCGGTTTTCGTGATGCGACCATCAGCCTGCATCTGGATAACTTTGAGCATTTTACCAATAGGGGTAACTGCGTGGATCTTACCTGCACAGTCCGGGTGTACTTCGTCTCAAAAAAGGAGATGACTCGGTATTTTCCTTTGCATTGATTGGAAAAATCACCAGAAATTCTCGCCAGATAATCAGAAGGCTCGGAGTCGCGATCAACAAGTAGTGCATGAATTAGCTTCTCGTTAGGTTGGCCATAAACAAGACTCTGTAGCTGCTCATTTCAGAGCCCGAGATTTGGAACACCAAAAAAGAGTAATCCACAGCATGCGCGGGTCAGTTCGAGATTGGCTTGCACGGACGATTTCTTCTGAGCGTATACTAGTGCCTGGTCGCAATTAGCCGGGCGATCGGGCGTAGCGCAACAATCGGCTTGCTTCTTTAATGAAGAGATCACCCAGGCTGTGTCCGATGAAGATGATGGGACGGTTGGTACTCTGCCTTGAGATGAGCCCTATGCCGCAGATCTGGGCTTGGAGGCACATACCTTGCTACTGCTTCGGAATGCCAAGAGCTCATTGAGAAAATATGACCCCATGTCCTCGATCGACTTCCTGGAATCGCTCTTTAACAGCTTCGTGTCATAGCCGTAGATAAGTACTCGCGCATTGGGTATATCCGCGGGCAGGTAATCTTGCAGCCAGATGTCGTTGCTACTAAGAGACTTTCACGACCCAAATGCGTAGCTTGCAAGGCCGGGCACTACAACGATGCTGGTGGTAAGACACGACAAGTCAGCAATTGAAACGGCAGTCAAGTGATGATTATAGGTAGTCTCACTCGACGTCAACTCGGGTTACGCCCGTGTAAAGCGGTGTGATGCCGTAGAAGTCGGAGTCGTACTTGTACTTCCGCTCTCCGCTGGCCTGTTGTAGGCGGCGCACCAACTCGATTACTGGGATTGATGTGTGGAAAGTGGCAATAGCACAGGCCCAGCGGCTGTCCCTAGGGGCTAGAGCGATGCGGCTGACGCTGCGAACGGTGTCCCGCAAGCCTGGGCCTTGTGTAATTATTGCCTTCAGTTCGCTGTCTAGGGCTGCATCGGATGTGTCGATCGGGATTTTATCGATGCGCAGGGTCAGATATCAGGGAGGTTTTTCCTTGAAAAACAACGCGTAGCGATAAAAGGCCGAAGTTAGGAGGATGGCGATAGCAGCCACTGCGAGCGGCCAGGCGCGCCCAGCCAGAACATCTAGTCGGTTAAAGACGCCAACCATGATGGCAATCTGTGCAGAACAACGTGTAGGGCAGGCGGTGACCGAAGCTGCCTCGGTCGGTAGGTTCGATGGTATAAAAACGAAACAAGCGATAGTGGAGAGAGAGAGATTTGCCGATACTAAAGACAGAAAGGCTACGACAGGAAAGCCAGGAGGGGTAAGGGGTACGTAGGCAAGCATAGGCAAGCATAGGTAAGTATATGCGCGCTCAGTCTTGGGGGCTGCATCTTAATACGTCTATATAAGCGGCCGAGCAGGGCTAATATGTGACCTACTATTCCAGTATAGCCCCCAAGACTTTCTCGCCTTTCGCACTGGCTGGTGCACTAGGGCTCTTGTCTAGCATGGGCCTGCATAGTTATCGGATGGCAACTATTAGAGTATCAGTACGAGGTAAGCCAAGCCCTTTATTAACTCGAAAGGCAGATCCTAGAACCGGCTATGCATTATACATGTGCACCTGTTTCAACTAGTGTGAGATCGCAGATATCACGGTCCAGTGGTACATGCTGTCTGCAAAAAGGGATGTCGCGCAAGAAAGATCAAAATACAATGAGGACGCGTGAGCAGAGGACAGCGCCAAGGTATGTTCGGCGCAGGTACCCCAAATCGCTTTCACCGGGTTACCTTGAGTACCCTGAGTCTTCCCCTTCTAGGCGCGTATCGAGAACAGTACAAGTCTGGCCCAGTCATGTCATCTCGGACTGAGGGGATCTGGACCCTTCAGAGACCGAGAGGGTTGCGGCAAAGAGTTGTTCAATCTGCAGAAGCTTGGTGTCGATCGATCAAGGCAGAGTATATTGCTGTGAGATCGGTGAGGGGTAAGGGCAAGGCAGAGAGGGCAAGGCAGACAGGCGAAGACCATTGAGGCAGCCAGTGTGTATATACAGACGGTTGTCACCCCAGACTATATAAGCGAAGAGTTTCAAGCCTGAACCCGACCAGGCCTTACCTACCACCCCCAGGTTCTAGGTACTCCATTCTGCAGCAATAATGTGCCCACCACCCGCTGCCGGGCCGCCCTTTGCATCAGAGCACCAGCTGAACTGGGACCTGGACAACAACGGACCTCTCACCCAATGTTTGCCCGGCTACCCTTATATCCTGCTCCAGGATCGATGCAAGCTGTGGGAGTTCCTCGACCAGGAATTCTGCTCGAAGGACATAAACCAGATGGCGAGCAGGCTGTGGTGGATGTCAAAACAAGACAGCGCCAACATCTCCCCGCTCCACCGGCAACTGGTTAAACAGCGCGCCGTCATCGTCACCGAGGATCCCAAGCTGCATCTAGTCTGGATCCACAGCCGAGTCTTCATCAAGCCGCTGCCCCGGTACATCGTCTCGTATGCATTCTGGCGGGACTACATGGGTGGCGATGGGAAAGATGCCCACGATATCCGTAGGGCAGCCTTGGGCTATTTCCGTACATGGCTGTACCTGGTGAGATACGAGTCCGACTTTCGCATCGCCCAAGACCCCAGCCTGCACCTCATCCCGCCCGACATCACATGGGACCAGTTCTGCCGTTTTGTATCCGATCTGATCACGATTGCCGACCACGACATCCCTACACGCTATACCTATGGCGAGATTTGATTGACGAGGCTTAACTTCTACGCTCCATTCCTACTTCGAAAGGCGTACTTCCAGCGTGTTGATTATCAATACGGGACATACTTTGCTCGGTTTTATAGGCCGGTTTTATTCGTTATTGGCGCGGTGTCCCTTATTCTGAGTGGGCTACAGGTTGCCATTGCTGTCGATCAAGGTCATCCCGATAAGGAGAATAATCAGTTGCTCTTAACTGTGGCTTTCTGGGTGAGCTTAACCATGATTTTATGCAGCTGTGGTATGCTTTTGTATCTATGCACTCTCTTGGTATATAAAGTGGGAAAGGAGTGGAAGTTTGCGATTCGAGACCGGCTTCAGTTGCTAGAGGAGGGACGGGCAAAGCGTTTGGGATAGTTGATACATATGAAGGTTCGTGGCGCGTGCGTATGCGACCACACGGGGCCAGGCAAGAATTGGGCGGACAGTGCTAAAGCTAGCTAGCCGCCCCAGTGGATCGTCTGGGGAAGCGGGGTTAGTACAGACAAACCCGAGACCCCCCAAGACTGTTGGCACTCAACAGATGATTGGTGCTAACCTGTAAGATATGGCTGCAGTGCTAAGCGCAAGCGGCATCCAGGCGGTTCCTGCAGCGGTTGCCAGCCTATTCTCCCGTCCTTACCCAAAGACGTACAGGGCATTTGACCCACCTAGAAGATAGATCATAATTTCTGCACGCTCAAGGGGTGAAGCAAAAGAACAACAGAACACACCTGACAACCTGACTAATCTGAAATCGTTTGCATCTGACAGAAGCAGCCGTTCAGCGGCTCGCTGATGCTCCCGCTGATCGAGGTCAACGGGCCGTCCTGGCGCATTAGCTTTGCCGTCCTGGACGCGGACCGGCTCCTAGTCTCGGACCATGCGATAGGCTCGACAGACCAGATGTCCGACTGCTATGTCAGCTTCAAATATCACATCGGGTGGAAATCTACTGGGTTATAGCCGGTTTCAGTGAGGCAGTAAGCCCGTTGCTATTGAAATAAAGCCAAGACATAAGGCTCTCTCAGTACCAGGTACCGGAAAGCATCTCACTAGCTGACAATGACAATGCCCTTTTCCTACCACCGCAATCAAGCTGTAAAACGGGTTTCAGAGCGGCTGGCGACGGCAGAACCAGAGGCTCTGCTCGGAAATAGCTGCTTGTTACGCTGTCCCACCATGCTGCTTTGAGATCATGCGGTGAGCTTTCTACTATCCAAGGCAGTTCCTGGTGCGATTTCTAAAAGACTGGCAGCCCAGTATAATATCTTTCTGCTTGGCGAGGCGCACACAGTCTCGAGGCCCATAGCGAGCCGGTTTAAGTTAGGCCTAGGACGCATCGCATAACCGCCATCGGCACGGCACACCGGCTTTTCCGCAGCGGTTATTCGTCCATACAACAGGGTATTTCCAAGAGTTCACAAGGCTATCTGCTCGGGGAGTCGGACGCATTCCAGCCTAGCCTGCAGGCCAGCCTGCTTCTGGAGCGTGCCTGTGCCTCTCGGCTGCGCAACTCTGAAGGAAGCCAGCGCAGCTCACCTAGCTTCTCTCGGGCGCGTAAATCCCAGACTCGTGTTTTCTAAGAGCCAACGTCAGGTCTTCCACAATGGCGAATGACGGCCTAGATCCATCCATATACCAAGGCGGATCGTCCTACAGCGGGAATGTCACCGTGCATGGAGGACCCTTCCACCAAGGCAATATCGTCAACATCCAGCAGACGGCCAACCGATGCCTCATCGACCTCTGCGTCACCGACCCGCGCCATGACAAGAAGCGCGTCCAGGACACCAAGGGCGGCCTGCTCGCGGACTCGTACGTCTGGGTGCTCGGCAACCCTGACTTCCGCCAATGGCGCGACCACGAGGACCAGCGGCTGCTCTGGGTCAAGGGCGACCCGGGAAAGGGCAAGACCATGTTCCTGTGTGGCAATGTCGATCATCTCGAAACGAGGCTCGCCCAAGGAAGCCACCTAGCGTACTTCTTCTGCCAAGCTACCGACGAGCGCATCAACAATGCGACGGCCGTGCTGCGCGGCTTGATATACATGCTACTCGACCAAGACGCCTCCCTCGTATCGCATATGAAGAAGAAGTACGATATTGCTGGCGAGGGGCTGTTCCAGGGCGATAATGCTTGGTATGCGTTATCCGAGATATTCACGAATATGCTCCGCGACCCGAAGCTGCACGTCGTCTGCCTCGTTGTCGACGCACTGGACGAGTGTATAGGTGGCCTACCGCAGCTGCTCGAGTTGATTGTCGAGACCTCGCAAGCAACTTGCGCTAAGTGGCTCGTCTCAAGCCGCAACTGGCCGCAGATTGAAGAAGAGCTGTCCAACGTGGCACACAGGCTATCACTCGAAGTCAATGCGAAGTCGGTCGCAGCGGCTGTGGACAGCTACATCTTGCACAAGGTGTCCCAACTTGTACAACGGAAGAGCTATCGAGACAACACCGCCGACGAAGTACGCCAGTACTTGTCGTCAAACGCTGACGGCACTTTTCTCTGGGTCGCCTTGGTCTGCCAGGAACTTGCGAAGACACGCCAAGGGAATGCTTTACAGAAAGTCAAGTCTTTCCTGTCGGGTCTCGATTCCCTCTATCAACGGATGATAGATCAAATCCACAAATCGGAAGACGCCGAGCTTTGCACGCAGGTGCTTGCTCTCGTAGCAACGACCTATCGCCTACCCTCACTTGCCGAGTCCACCACGTTCATCAAAGAAGACGGCAGCACGGTAGGAGATGCCGAGTTACTAAAGGAGATTGTCAGTCTCTGCGGCTCGTTCCTTACTATTCGCGAGGACATAGTCTACTTCGTCCACCAGTCGGCAAAGGACTTCTTAACGAAAGAGAAAACGGTCATCCTTTCCCCCAAACAGCAAGTAGCCGTCCATGGCCAAATCTTCTCCAGGTCGATCGAGGCCGTATCCCAGACACTGAAACGTGACATATACGGACTGCACGACCCGGGCTTCCCTATTGAGGATGTCCCTTGACGGAGACCTGACCCAGACCCACTGGCGGCGATAGGATACTCCTGTGTCTATTGGGTCAACCACTTGATTGATGCTAGCAAGGCTCCGGGTAGGGACGACAGCGTACAAGAGTACGGGGCGGCAGACAGGTTCCTGCGGGGAAAGGGTCTCTACTGGATCGAGTCGTTGAGTCTACTCCGGAGCATGTCGGAAGGGATGCTCGCATTAGAGAGGCTAATACGGCATTTGCAGGTAAGTCAATACTTTCTGCTACACGGCCTTACAGAGCTAATAGTATAAAGGGGCGGTTGGGGGCGTCTGGACTTCAGGCGCTCGTAAAAGACGCCTACCGTCTGTTACAAACCTTCAGGCCGGCAATTGAGAGCCGGCCGCTTCAAGCGTACACCTCACCATTCGTGTTCAGTCCAACGCAGAGCTTAATGCGAGGTCTATTCGTGCACGAGGCACCACGATAGGTCAAGTGCAAAACAGAGTTAGCGGAACAATGGAGCGCGTGCGAAGCGATCCTCGAGGGCCATACCTCTCCCGTCTTCTTGGCGGCCTTCTCGGCCGACGGGCGGCGCGTCGTCTCGGCGTCTGACGACGAGACCGTCCGGCTCTGGGATGCGGCCTCGGGCGCGTGCCTTTCTTCATATGAGGTCGGCTACAACTCCACCGTTTCGTTCGATCTGACCGGCACCCTAATCCATACCGACGCGGGCGACATTTGCATAGAGGAGTCGATTTCCTTGGATATCGATACGTATCCCCAAAAGCCTGCGCAACAGGGAGATTACGTTCTTAGTCCCGATCGGGCTTGGATTTTACAGCATTCCAAGGAGGTCCTCTGGCTCCCTCCCGAGTACCGGCCAACTGAGTCTGCCGTGTTTACAACAGAGCGAGGCACGAACCTTGTTCTCGGTTGCTCGTCCGGTCGGGTCTACTTCTTTCATTTGTCACGTTTCTAAAACATTTTTGATCTGTTTAACCCTCTCGTCTTTCCTTACTTTCTTTGCAAAACGAGGGTTCTAGGGGGCATGAACAATTTATAACGCTCGCACCGTCGTAGCGAAACATTCGAGAATGAGGACACTCTATAAATTGCTAGCAAAGGATCGCGTGTATTCTACCGGAACGAATGCGGTTGAACTCTGTAGCAGACTCTCATTGATTGTGTTGGGCCTTCCGATTATGGTGAACAATCGAAGGTACGCTGTCCGGCGCGCCTTGCACCGTATCCCGGACCGTAGCAGACATCACGACGTAAACCTCGATGCAGGACATAGCAGGAGAAAGAACTGGGGCAGGCGAGCGAAGCTTTCACGGAAACCCATCTAATTTGCATGTAATGGCCTGCTCGTCGGACGCGTGTCAGCCCAGCTGGCGGGTCAGCTGATGTCTGGCGTGTGTGTGCCTTGGCGCCTCTCGGCTATGCAGCTGTGACGAAATTCAGGGAGGATCACCTCAGTTCTCCAGTGCTTATGTCTCTGCAGAATCATGTTTCGCGACGCAAACGTCCTCGAGAATCAACGCCATGGAACCTCCCGGCCAGCTCCTTGTTGGGACGAGCGTGGTGGCTCTCCTGGCCGCTTGTCTCTACCAGCTGTTTTGGGGAGCGCGTTCCCCACAGCAGAGACCTGAGCCAGGTAGCGACACACTCGGCCAGCCGCGTTTCCGTGAATTGACGCTACGCGTGGACGAGGTTCCTATGGGAACAACTGCTGCGGAGCTGGAACATGAGCTGCAGTCGGTCGTTGCTGCAAGTCCGGATTTACAAGGTCAGCTCGACGGCTTGGTCGTGCGCTCCCTTGCGCCGAGAGACCGTACTTGCGCCTGCGCGACTGCGACGGCCAAAACGGTGCTTCCAGAGGACCAGCTGCTGGCTCGCCTCCAGCATGCTCATAAAGCATCCCAGTACCGCTTCGACTGCACGTTCTACGGCATCACGCCGCTCTACAAAGACCCAGCCGGCGCCTACTGCGAGTATGCACCTCGCTTCCCACCCAGCGTCGTCCTTCTAGCTGATCGTCCTATACGTTCGCAGTGTAATCGCCATATCGGGCCTGGCGAGCCATGCAATCGGCTCGTGGAAATCGCCGGGCAGGAACGATCTCTGGCTACGCGATTGGCTCTCAGGCGACATCCCGAATATCCGTGTGCTCCTGTACGGATACGACACGACATTGCTGAAGAGCAACGCCAAGTCCTCCATAGAAGACTTGGGCCGGCGGTTTCTCGAAAGCCTAACGGCGTTCTGGACGAGCGACGAGGTGGGTTCGTCGTCCGTCGACATGGGGCTGGCTAACAACACCGCAGACCGAGCGTTGTCCGATTATCCTACTAGGCCACAGTCCGGGCGGCCTTCTTATTAAAGAGGCAGGTTTGCCAGGTCCCTTGCGCCGGTCGATGCTGACCTGTCGCAGGCACTCGTCCACGCTTTTAGGAGCCCCGCTAGCAGCCCGACGCACCAGCTCCTCTCGCAAACCTGCTGCGGCCTGCTGTTCTTCGGGGTGCCGCAGCTAGGTCTGCGAAACGAGAAGCTCGCCTCCATGGTAAAAGGGCGGCCGAATCAGGCTCTTATTCGCGCTCTGGTCGTGGATAACGAGTCGGAACCGTCCGACTTCCTGGCCCGCATGGCGGACGACTTTGCGCGGTGTTTCCAAGACCGGCTGCGCGTAGTTGCCTTCTACGAGCGCCGGCTGAGCGCGACTGTTGCGGTACGTCTCGCCCAGTCATCCCAAATTTGCGCTGGTTCATTCCTGCTCATCATCTGTCTAGAGGCAACCTGACGGTACGCTACGGAAGTCGGGCCCGCCCGTTCTGATGGTCACGAGGAAGTCGGCGACCAGCACCGGCCTGACCACGGTGCCCGAGAAAGACATCGTGCCGTTGGATGCCGACCACTCGGGTCTCGTCAAATTTGTGTCCCGGCGCGACGATGCGTATATTGTGGTGAAAGAGCGGATCAAGAGTCTGGTGTCGGGCGCGGCGTCTTGGACCGTGGACCGTAGGTGATCCAGGCTTTCCCGCTAAGGCACGTCAGTGGCGCGGCGTCTTGGACCGTGGACCGTAGGTGATCTAGGCACTCCCGCTAAGGCACGTCAGTACTGTGCTGACCTACATTGAGCTCCCGCAGCCCCAATATCTAAGCAGAGAGCTCTGCTGCGCGCTATCCAGCTTGGCTCGACTTTTAGTGGCGATTACACAATCTACGGAGGAAACGTCTCGTAAGGCAACGTGATGAATCTGTAAACCACGTCGTGGCCCTGTCAGGCTGGCGCAGCGTGGATCGTGATGTATAGATTCACATAAATGACAAATCGGGAGGCTACTCGGACTGCATGCTTTAGTAAACGCGCATGTAAGAGCATCTCAAAACATTGGCTGTAATCAGCTCATAATATATGAAACCTGGCTCAGAGTATTATAGTTTTCCTGTTGCGGCGCCACAATTTTTTGATAAGGGAACCTTAATGGCAATGGAAGCGGAATATTTCTTAACATAAGGACTTATATGACTAGGCTGACCGGACATAACCCCCCTCGGCTGAGATTCCAGCCCCGTCGGCCGAGGTTCCAGATTTCCGGTTGGGGTTCCAAACGATGTGGCATAGCTACACCCTGAAGTTGCTATGAGATGCCGGATCCTCCATAAAGCTTTTCCTCACCGTCGGTTGTGTTGAGCTTGGATGCTCTTTTGGTGGTCAGGCCTAAGTGCCTTCATTTTCCCCTGTAGCGCCTGCTGATACATCTCTTCTGCCTCCTTCAGCTTGCCTTGATCCGAGTAGAGGTTGCCAAGGTTGTTAACTGTGTCGAGTGTTGAGTTGTGGTCGGGCCCAAGCGCCTTCTCGTAGCCCTTTAGCGCCCGCTGGTACATCTTTTCTGCCTCCTTCAGCTCGCCTCGGTCTTTATAGAGAAGGCCCAGGTTGTGGACTGTGTTGAGAGTTGAGGTGTGGTCGGGCCCAAACGCCTTCTCATAGCCCTTTAGCGCCTGCTGGTACATCTTCTCTGCCTCCTTCAGCTCGCCTCGGTCTGAATAGAGGTTGCCTAGGTTGTGGACTATGTTGAGAGTTGAGGTGTGGTCGTGCCCAAGCGCCTTCTTAAAGCCTGGCAGCGCCCGCTGGTACATCTTCTCTGCCTCCTCCAGCTTGTCTTGGTCTGAGTAGAGAAGGCCTAGGTGGTTGACTGTGTCAAGCGTTGAGGTGTGGTTGGGCCCAAGCACCTTCTCATAGCCCCGCAGCGCCCGCTGGTACATCTCTTCTGCCTCTTTCAGCTTGTCTTGATTTGAGTAGAGAAGGCCTAGGTTGTTAATTGTGCCAAGAGTCGAGGTGTGGTCGGGCCCAAGCGCCTTCTTGAAGCCCCTTAACGCCCGCTGGTACATCTCTTCTGCCTCCTTCAACTTGTCTTGATCCGAGTAGAGGTTGGCTAGGTTGTGAACTGTGTCGAGAGTTGAGGTGTGGTCAGGCCCAAGCGCCTTCTCTTTCCCCTTCAGCGCCCGCTGGTACATCTCCTCTGCCTTCTTTAGCTTGCCTTGATCCGAGTAGAGGTTGGCTAGGTTGTGAACTGTATCGAGAGTCAAGGTGTGGTCGGGCCCAAGCGCTTGCTCTTTCCCCTGCAGCGCCCGGTGATACATCTTCTCTGCCTCCTTCAGCTCGCCTTGATCCGAGTAGAGGTTGCCTAGGTTGTGAACTGTGTCGAGAGTTGAGGTGTGGTTGGGCCCAAGCGCCTTCTTATAGCCTTTCAGCGCCCGCTGGTACATCTCTTCTGCCTCCTTTAGCCTGTCTTGGTCTGAGTAGAGGTTGCCTAGGTTGTTGACTGTGTCAAGAGTTGAGATGTGGTTAGGCCCAAGCAATTTCTCTTTTCCCTGCAGAGCCCGCTGGTACATCTCTTCTGTCTCATTCAACTTGCCTTGGTCCGAGTAAAGAAGGCCTAGGTTATGGTATGCCACTTCTAGCTCATCCATTATAATCGACTTCTTCAGAACGGCAAAGGAACTCCTTGATGCATGCTGAAGAAGCCGCCGTTGAATAAGCCACTATTTTTCTGATTTATTGCCAGGAATATGTGATGCCACATGTGTTATAGCTAGTCTTGCTAGGTCGTTGTCCGTTTCATGGTTTAGAATGTGCACTATCCACTGGTGAACACAGCTATGAATGCTGTACCCTTTTGACTCGATCTGTTCGTCGGAAGATGAATGAACCTCTACCAGCCCGTAGTTACTCAACACTCGAACTGTGCTATCAAAGCTTATCCTGTCCTTGGTGATTTGGTTGAGCCATGATGGGTTGTCCACGTCGTCGTGTTGGAGAAGTTCAAGCCAGATATCTTGATTATCAAAGTATCCCCACAAGCGGAGAAACTTGGCGGAAACCTCGTTCTGTTTCTGGATATGGTCAAATGATAGTTGCCATGTGGAGTGAAGTGTTCGGTCTTCATATGAACCTAGTTGTGGACTAGCCTTTTGAAGTCTTGCCCACGATTCCTTGTAAAGATCAAGATACTCCGCAAAACTGGTTGTAGTCTGGTCAAGGTATGCCCCAGCCGTAGCAAGTGCAAGGGGGAGGCCGTCTAGCACTTGGACAAGGCTCAGGGTGTCGGTGTCTGTCATTCCAGTTAGATCAAGGTGCAAAACTTTTGAAAGTTCTTACCATGTATCAGGTCTTTTCGGTTTGATGCATTTGACAAAATCTCGATACTATCGAGCACATCCTCCATCTTTCTAACTCGAATATCATGGCCAATTTTAACCTTTGTTGACCGGGTGGTGATGATGATAAAGCCTTGGTGCGCTTCGGGAAGAAACTCATGGACATCTACTGCTGCGTGGTCTGAATTGCTTGGCAGCTTCGGGTTGTCGTAGTTGTCGTAGATTAGTAGCCAACGCGTGTTGTTTGGGAGACTCAGCCATGCCTTGACAGAAGCGATCACTTCGTCAAGATCCTTCGTATCGATGCTGCTAACGCGAGGGGCAGAGGGATGGTCTCGAAGGATCTGTCGAGCTGCCCTAACAAAACTCTGTTTCAGAGAGTCTTCATCCTTGATGTTCATCCAGAACACAGCCGAGTAGCTGTCCTTGTATAGTTTCGCATACGCAATAGCTAACTGGGTCTTGCCGACCCCACCAAAGCCGTTGACGACAACTGTCCGACGACTGCCATTGCTTCGGAGTTGCTCGCGTATTTGTGCAAGCTCTTGTTTTCTGGCCACAAAGTCTTCGATTTCAGGGACACCCGTGAGGCTGAAGGTTACTGCGAAATCTTTAAGTTGAACACCTATGTCGACTGTGAACTTAGTTTCTGAACAAGAAGACAGTGACTCACCTTTAGAGGCTTTGTTGATCTCTTCTCGGAGCCGCTGGACTGCCTTCGCTTTCCCTTCACCGTAGATCAGAGGCATTTGGACATCAAATATACCTAAAAGCGAATACGCCTGATCTTCGTCCTCTGTGGTCTGCCGGGATTCGGCCCATGCGAAGCGCTCGGGGACAGTGCAATCAGGAAGAGGAAAGCCTCGAAGCACCTTGACCGGGATTCCTGTGATATCGGAGATAGGCAGTTCTAGAGATCTCTTGGTTCCTAGTCGAGCGCCCTCTCTAGAGAAGAACTCGACCGAAGCCGGTGCTAGAAGCTCTTGAAGAGTCCATCCCCGATGAAACCACTGACTGTCGCGGAATCCTGTACCCCAGAGTGGGTCGTTGGATTCGTTCCCGGTTTGCAAGGTGGGTTTCGAAACATCGTCCAGGTAGACGTAACATCTAGCCGCATTGCGGTACCACTTGAACATGGAGTTAATGGACTTAGTGAGTTCGGCACTGCTGGACTTATCAATACAGCATGTGTCTACCCAGAAGTGCACCAAGCCATCACGTTGGGCTTGGTTGCCGCAGAACTGGATCTTGTCGTAACCGTGCTTGCTCGGCCTAGCTCCGTTCTGCAGGTCTCTCAGACCAGGTTCGCCCTTTAGGTCTCTGAAGGTGACCTCTTCTGGACCCCATCGATGTGAAAGAATCGCGTATTAGGGAATTCTGTCGCCAACCAGATCTTCTGTAAGGCTAAAGCCGCCGGAGTTGTTAGGTTTTAAAAGGCGCATGGTTAAATCATTTATATAAGCGAACTGTCGAAATACATGTTGAGGTAAGTCACCTAGAGTTGGGCATGAGAAAGATGGAAACGTGAGATCATTTTTATGTGGTGCGGGGAAGTGCAAAGAGGCTCGACTTTGGGAATGCTGCCTTGCCACCTAACCCCGCTGCCTAACCCCGATGTGGGTAATGAGGCCTGTGCCACGCTTACAGCCACATCAGTTCTCAATAACACTGTGTGAGTGTGGCGTAGTCACCCTTAGCTGGACCTGTAACATTATAGGTTCAATCTATCTTTGTTAACAGCAGATCTCTCTCACCATTTCAAATGCCCCTTACCGTTAGATCATACTCGGACTGCAGTGCGTAGTCCTTGTCACTTTTACTTTTAACTAGGCGGACCTTTACTTGCACACTACAAAGATCCCGTTGTGGCTGCTTGGGTCTCAAGAGCCTGCGAGGACAGGCTCTAGCCGCCAGCAACACAACAGTGAAAGGAAGAGCACCCCCAACACCTCGCACCTCAATCAACACCAGTGGTATGGAGCTTATGCCACCCGCGCCAGCTATGTACCGACCAGCGGCGGTGTTGTCTTCTTCTGTCCCTACATCGATCTCTGTTGGAGGTCACGTGGTCCGTGCCCTGTAACTAGATCAGGCCTTCCGCGTAGCTGTCAGCTGTAGTAGGACGAAACAATAACAACATTGTTCACGGCACCTCCACGCTGCCAACAACCTCCAAAGAGGCGCAAGCTTGATTGCCAATGGCAGCCATATCGACAACCAAGAGCTACGCCCAGGTATAGACAACAAGGACGATGATGATAATCATGTATTCTTTGTACCGCGATGACCAGGCGATCAAGATGACTGGCTCTAGCCACAGTCTTATCTACAAAGGGGCTTGAGCCAGAGATAAATGATAGATATAACAATGGAGGCATATGACAAAGACACAAACAAGGGCAATATGACCCTGACTTGACATCGAGACGCCTGACTGTCTCGATTGAAACAAGCTGCGGCCCGGCCGCCGTCCTCTAAACCGACGCTAAACTTCATCAAGTCTACCAGATCACTCTCCGTCGGTCCACCCGTCCCATCAAGACGATCCAAAACCTGAACTCCATCAAGAACCTAGTGCGATCCCTCTTGTTTGATGACGATCTCCTCCCAGAAACTACCACAGGTCATCCGCCGTCTGTACCGCTGGCTGTACCGTCGGCTGCACAAGGACATTTGTCCTCCTGAGGTGAAAGACTGTGCTCTCGCCGCGCCGGGTTCCCAAGATCATCTCTCATTTGATAACTCCTGGGCAGTCCGCCAGACTCAGGTATTGTCCCGGAAACAAAGTGACCACGCCACCATTCATTGTAATCGCAGCAAGTCTCACTGAAAGCCTCAATACTAATCGCAGTCTTCAAGTCATCATAGGCTAAGATCAGGTCAACTATTAAGACAATATCATAACATGTAGCAAATATGTCAATGATGTAAGAATAAAAGGGCGAGGTCTCCTACATATGTCACATATGCCCAACTAAACCGGCATCCTTATGTACATAGCCCACCTGTTCGCCTGCACCTCCACACAGCATGTCGATCATAGTCTCAGGGGCCACTCGTAAGGTCTTGCCATCGATAGGTTCCAGTCCTTGAAATACCCCCTCCTCTTCATCCCATTGTAGCATGATGGGCAGCCAATCACTATTGGCTCGAATCTCGATGGACAGTCGGTCAGAGAAACAGAGCAGACATCCTCTATCGACGATCTCCTTCTTGCCTCCTCCGAGTTCCCTGACCCAACCTTTCTGGCCATCATTCGCCCGTTTCCACGTATACTCCCAGAAGCTCTCCGGACTGTCGAGTGGTACAAGTACTCGTGATGCTCTGACGTTTACTTCGGAACTGAGCTTTGGCCTCTTCCGTGAAATGCTCTGAGGTGAAAGGCGCCCTGGATGTTCCTTCTGCTTAGCTAGGGCTGTTGGTGGTGCCTGGCTTAAAGGTTCAGACTTCTGGTATGTCTGAGGTACCTTTGTCTCGTCTCGAGGGTTGTCAAAACTCGGGTCGTCGGTGAGATCGATAATAACAGGCGCGGGCGTAAGGGAGGCCGGAGTTGTCTCACGCCCGTGCTCAAGTCCGTGATCGGTAGGTTTGTTTGAACGGAAGAAGTCTCTTGATTCTTCTTCAGAAACTTCTGTAAACATCGTAGTGAAGATCGCATCCCAAGGAGTAACGTCGACAAGAGATGGCGCATTAAGACCGCCATGGTTGTCATTGTTGATTACGATACCCCAGAAGTCATGGGCATTGTCATCGTCGGCTACGCTATCCCAGAAGGCGTCGGCGGGCATTTGTTGAGACTCAGACATCACATCCATGGCTGTCAGATGGGAAGGGGCGAAAGCATGAAGACGGGAAGAAGTGGGAAGGAAAAGGTAAGGTTCAGGCCCGGCCAAAGAGGATGACGGCCGACCTTAAATACTGACGCTTCCACGTACCACGCCTAATATGTGCATATTCTCTGCCCATCGCAAATACGGGGCGGGAAGAGGAGTGCTGATGCCGAAGGGCCCTGCGCCTAGGTCCTAGGCCTTGGTCTATTGCAATATAAGCGAGGTTGGGCTCCTAACAATTTGGTGGTTGAAACTATAGCTTGGGTGAGATTCTCCCTCTCAATTCATGCCGACTCGTGACTCCCCTGGAGTCACGATCAGCAAGACTGGGTCAGGGCATGCCTTGTAGCTTTATGGGCTACAAAGGGTGTCTCACAGAGGCACGCCCATACGCGCGGCCATTGGCAGAGACGCCTCTCTGCCACTTCAGCATGACGCGGGTGGGCTCTACAAGATGCGAATATGGCACCTAGAGTCGTTCGCATAGATGTAGGCAGGAGCGTGGCGGATTTGAAACTGGCCGAGGCGGTGTCCGTCCTATGCCTCGCGCTGATGGGCACCAGCTGGCTGACCTCACGGCATTGAAAGGACGAGGTGTATCCGTTTCGCACCCATACCGTTTTGCATAGTCGTTTCCGCATCATGCTCTTTGCTCATCCTCTTCTGCCCCTGGCTCTGCGCTTGGATATATGACGCCATGAGCCCCGTGCTGTCGGCCCTGGTCAGACTCGCCTCACTGTTGTATCCAGAACACCACGGCACACCTAGTCCCAGGGTCGCACCCAGCAGAGGATCCCAATCCCAGACAGAGTTGCGACCGTTATTCCACGGCATGGCAGCGCTGATATCTGGAATGTACGTGTCCGAAAAGCCCGTGGGAAAGCTGCCGTCATTGAAGATTGGGAAGTGGCTTGGACCACAGGGGTAAAGGAGCGCTTGGGTTTCTACGCTGGCGAACTCGTCGGGAGTTTGGGGCTCTGGCTGTTCCTGTGCAACAGCGCAGGTCGTACTGGGGCTTTGTTTGGTGTGAAATGGAGGCACGTGTTGCTGCCGTCATTCTGAGCTGACCAGACTTCCTGGTACATGGCAATGTTCGATAAGAGTTGCATGGCGCTTGGGACCCTGCAGCCCCCTGACGTATGAGGGTAAGCATCCTGACGCGCTTCCGGGGCCTTGTGGGCTGTGCGCTTCTGGTCTCTTATATGCTTCGTAACGATATGTTCAGCTAGACCAGCGAACTTCTTTGCCCAGTTGTCATCTAGGAACGGAACACGGATTGTATGGCGCTGATCGCGATTGGTAGAGTGGGGCTGGGTGACTGGAGATGCAAAGGCTTCCACCCGCTCACCGTGGTCCCAAAATTCCGGCTCGGACTGGGAGATGTGCAGCTCTCTTGGTCCTGACACTGAAGTTACAGATCTCCAGCTATGGTCATACAACCGTGGCTGGCAAATGGCGAGGTCGACTATGCCTCGAAGCTCGGAGCCGTTGGGGAATGTAGAGCCGGCATGTAAGTCCAGGGCGACTTCGAAATGGAACATATCACACGGTCCCACAACATGGCGCGATGCCCGACTGTGGGGCATAAGGGTGCCTTCAAGGGCCTCTATGAGTCGACGTCTTAGCTTTGGAAAGCGAGCGGCCCACTGGTAGGATATCTCTCTGATGAACGACGACTCCTTCTGCCGAAGTGCCTGAGAGTACTCGTGTAATAGTGTAGCAGGCCGACCACTTGCATGTTTCTCTTTGTCGCTATGCATTGGCCAACGCAGGACGGTGGTGCTAGTTATGTTGGTGAAGTCTTTGGGTGAAAATTCTCAAAGACTCTGGGTCATTTACTTTAACTGCATACTATTAAAGTCAAACTACCAAGGGAGTTATTGAACTAGTCAATCTAGTCATTCAGTGAAAGCAGCGAAAGGCCATGGACATGTTGATCTATGGGTAATCTTCACAGCAAACAGGGAGAATCTCGTGGGAGATCATATGGCATATAATTGGCGGCAAGAACACTGATCTAGAAGGTAGCTGCAGCCAAGCCCTAGGGTTAGAGCACGGCATTCTCGAAGCCCCTATAATCCGTGCCGTTAGAGACAGGATTCAGGGGCTACGGCCGTTAGACGTGGCAGTGAGAGTAGCTACAGTATCATCTAGGAGGTCCCAGAGAATGGAGAAACAAATAAACAAGCAATTGACCAACGCCTTCCTTGCTATCCCTCCTTCCAGTAAGTGCCATGGCCGGTGGGCGGGTGAAAAGGATTTCTGGCGACCAATTTGCGCGTGAATAGGTTGTTAAAGATGGCAGGTTGAGTGGCCCAACTGTAGTTGCGCCGAAATTGAATATGTAGTCCCACAGACCACATCCAGATAAAAGACACCACCATCAAGCTGTAGGCATTCGACTGTATCGTGCTGATTATGTGCTGCTCATTGGAGTGCAGCCAGTCCAGTAGTTTCGGTAGAATCAGAATTGGTTTTCTTTGCTAGCAGCCGGACCACGTCTTCGTGCCCGTTCCGTGCCGCCCACCACAGCGGCGTGCGACCGTAGCGATCTTTTGAGTCGGGATCGACGCTCCCCGTGTCGAGCAGCAGCCGGACCACGGCCTCGTACCCGTTCCGTGCCGCCCACGACAGCGGCGTCTGGCCGCAGCTATTCTTTGAGTCGGGATCGACGTTCCCCGTGTCGAGCAGCAGCCGGACCACGGCCTCGTACCCGTTCCGTGCCGCCCACGACAGCGGCGTGCGACCGTAGCGATCTTTTGAGTCGGGATCGACGCTCCCCGTGTCGAGCAGCAGCCGGACCACGGCCTCGTACCCGTCCTCTGCCGCCCACGACAGCGGCGTCTGGCCGTCGCGATCTTTCGAGTCGGGATCGACGTTCCCCGTGTCGAGCAGCAGCCGGACCACGGCCTCGTGCCCGTTTTCTGCTGCTAACAACACTGGCGTCCGCCTAAAGCTATCTGGAACATCGGGGGGGAAATCCTTAGCTAGTGTTGCAACAGCTCCCTTCAAGCCGAAACGAGCTGCCAGGTGTAATCCGGACGTGTGCTTTACTGGTTTCTGACTATAACCTTGGAACGTCCAATCTTTGCGGATTTCGAGGACTTGGCTTGATGCTTCGACTTGGGCTGGCTTCCGGAGAAAGGAAAGTACAGTTGGACAGTTCCATCCTTTTTGGCTATGATATCCCCAGTTGCGAGCCGCGTAGTCATAAAAATGGTGCAACTTAAGCCGTTCCTCGAGTTTTTTGTCTGTTGCCACATATCCGTCTGAAAAATCGGTGAAGGCAAGGTAAGTGGTACAGACTGCCGTGATGGAGCCCTGTGCGTCGGGAAACCAGTCGCTCTTAGTCCGTTGAAAGTATTCCTGTGTTGTGTAATGAACTAGGCGGACGATACTGCTCTCTTCATCAACAGTCACCAGCCCAGCACATATAGAAACCATATCTCCTATTTGCGGGAGGTTATCTTGGTCAAGGTTCGGCTGATCAATTTTGACGGCCAGTGCATGTTGCAGTTCTAGTTTGGTAAGCGGCCTCTTCGCACATGTAATCCATGATAGGACTTCCTTGGCGCGCTTTGCCTGCTCTTGGAGTTGTCCCTGTATTCTTTCCATGGCGGACTGGTACGCAGTATCGTAAGCATTTGAACCGGTCGCCAGCTTTCCTATTGCCGTTCGTATAGCTCTTCGTGTATATTTGCCTTTTAATGAGGCAAAATGGAGCTGTGCAAGCAAAAACCTAAACCGATTAGCACAGACTACGCTCTCTTTTATGTATACATACATCCCATCGCAAGCTTTTGTTATGCTTGTTATGATCTCATCTTGAAGGTCAGGCTGACTGGCGACGAATCCTGGAAGCTCAGACAAATGCGCTTGCAAATATCTGCGAATGTCGCCTTTGGTTGCGCCAATCTCTTTTGACGGGCTGTCTTTGAATCGGTCTGTGATCTCCTGCACTGTCCTAGAGGTCGCGAAAATCTTGATTCCCGTTTTGGTCTGAAGATTGAAAATTGCTGACAAGAACTTTGCACGGCAGCCGTCAGAAGCCTGACATTCATCCAGTGCATCAACGATGATGAAGACCCGGGAATTCTGGGCCGTTACCAGTTCGATTGCTCTGGAGATCTCGTCCACAGATGGTCGAGTTCGTTTTCGCTTATGCCGATCGTAGAGCTCCGTCAGATTTTGTGGTAAAGAAAGCTGGCCTTGAGCTAGCTGTTTCAGCAGACTCGACAACAAGCTTTCAGTAGTCTGCTCGCTTTGGCGCTTATAGTTACAGTAGACGTAGGCGACTGCAACGCTAGTCTCGCTGCCAAATCGCTTCTCAAGGTCGTCGACGGTAATTGATGTCAAGATCGTCTTTCCAGCTCCAGGGATCCCGGGACAGAATAACGTCTTGTTTGGTTCTCTGAACCAACTCGTATACTCATCGGAGTCAAGAAGCCATTGTCCTGTGCCTGGTTGGCGCCTCTTCAAGTAGTCGGTTTGTTGAGGCCCGTAGTCAGTCGGTGTCAGCCAGTTTAGGATTTCGGTATCTTCTTTCTTCTCTACATATCGTCTTGTGTGTATAACACCCTCATTCATAGAAGACACAGTGTTCGAGACTGTAAAAACTGTCAGAAAGGACCAAACAAACTCTGGGACCGCTGCATGGCCAATGATGATATTCCGACAAAATCCTAAGGATACAAAAGCACTAATTATCTAACAAGATATCGCCCAGTTTTTTCTCGGCCTCCACCTTGTTTGGTGCGATCCTGTGGAGGAGATCGCGAGTGTACGCGGCTGCTGTCATTGCAGCGTAGCCTTGCCAAAGCAAGTTCTTGTGACTATCAGCATAGTCGCAAATACCACAGACAACCAGGAAGGGGAATTGATTCATCAGTTCAGCAGCTTCCATCTCGAAGCACAGCACGTCCTTCTCGATCGAAATCTTATCGCGAATTGAGGCGTCCTTCATGAGTTGATTGGCGGAAGCAATAAGGCCGTAGTGTATGACGGGATCATCGTCGTCTGCCGATCGTGCACGTCGGATAGTCAGTTTCGACTCGTCGTCTCCGCAAGCAGCCAAGCAGTCCTCGTCGTCTCTAGCGGTATGGAGGATTTCAGGTTTGTAAAGCCGGTCCGTGCTAGCGTTTGGTTGTCGAAACTCATGTTGCAGCCTTGGAAATCGATCAAGGGCGCTCTCAATTGCTTTCTTGAGCTGGTGTCCCTTCATCCGATAAGTAGCGTTAAGTGCGGCCGCTGCAGCCATTATGAATGTTGGTGGCTTGTTCAAAAACCCCGTGGGAACGAAGGCCTTGTTCTGGATAGTCTTCCCGTAGTCGTACTGGTACACGCCGCCATGCCCATAGCCAGCAGAACTGACGACGACGTCCCCCAGGCGGATATCGTGCTTGGCCGGAGCACCACCGCCGATGCCAACCATGAGGCCAACTCTGAGATTTGGAAAGCTGCGTATCATATCCCTAGCAACGTTCGCAGCATTTACGAGCCCGTACTCCCAGTGCGGCAGTACCACAATGACGACATTGTGCTTGCCTATCCGACCAAGGGTATAGTTGCTCTCGGGAGTATAACAGTTAGTGGCGTGGTGGCTGGCTATGCCTTCGTCATCCTTCGGGGTGAGACTGTCGGGAAGATCGGTGGCGGGAGCATTATTATGCAAGCCTGGGCATGGGACGCTGAGAGAGGAGGCGGGCTGGACGTCGTGACTCAGGCAGGCAACATCTGCAGTGTCAACATCATCCACCACAAGATGATAGTTGCTGCTAGACGAATTGACACTGGGCTGAACATCGCCTGGATGCAGAGGCTTGATGCCCCGGGCAGTGTCTCGAATAGGGACAAGATCTGGATTGGTGATCATGAAGACATCGTCCCTGCGCCCGACGCCAGAGGGAGATCTACCGCTCATTTTGTCGCGGGCCGGTTCGGCGGCGGCCCACTGGTTCAAGGAGCCAAAACCATCGTCATCGAGGGAAGCACACTCAAAGTTGAAGTAGCTCATCCAGTCCACGCGAGGATATTCGTCCGACGACAATATCTGAGCCGGCCAATCAAAATTAGCTTTGACTGGGAGCGCCTGGCCAGCCTCTAGATCGCCTTGGACCGGAAGGGGTGGATGGGATTCAGCCATATCATAGAACAATGGGGAAATCCAGGACGGGAGGGTGAGGAAGAGGAGAACAAAGAAAAAAGAAGTTGAGGATGCCGTGACCTATGGGTTCCCTCCCCTGTATACGTGCGAGCTTGCTGACCAACCTAGGGCTTGACCTCGCGGTACTAGGGGGTTTGTTTTGACGAGTCAATGGTATCATGACCTGGAAACAGGTCTTCTCGTCGGCCGACAACCCGTTTGAGCACTGCTATTTGGTCACACCCTGGCAATAGGCAATGACGAGATGTAAGTGGGTGAGGCTGATCACTGTGAAATGGGATCTCGATGTGAGCCTGGACTGGATATATCGTCCCTCCGCCTGGTTCTGGGGATGAATCGGGAGTCATCTCGACAACAAAGTTCAGCTTATGTACTGTGCCACGTGGAATCTGAGTACGCCTGCCATCAGAAGGTTCATCGGCTTGTAATAAGAAAAGCCGACCGTCCCCCTCATAGTTGGCAGCATCTATAATTCTCGCATTTAGCCTATCGCAACCATGAAGAAGATCGCCAACAAGCTCTCTCTGTGAGTCTACTAGAAGGAGCTTTCATAGACGCAGATACCTCGCAGGAACGTGGCCTCTATCTGTTTCATGATACCGATGTCTAACGGATGTTCTAGGCAATGCTAAGCCACTGTAAAAAGGATGCCGAGAGATAGTCTCTGGGGCAAGCTATGCTACCGTGTAGTCAGGTTCTCGTACTGAAGGCTGAGTAAGACAAAAGTACCAGACGATGCCCAACCTGTTCAAGTACGTCCATCGTAAATCTGTTGTTCGAAGGGAATATTGTCTGCGGAAAATCTCAAGGGCCTGAGAAGGATTATGGTTGCGACAAGTAGAAGAACACGAGGGAAGCAGAAGGGAGATGGCCGTCGGCGCTGTTTTAGATTAGGGAACTTGTTGTGGCCTCAGGCCCAGCTCCCCAGATATGTAGCTAGCAAGCCGAGATAGCTTCATACACGGCAAGCATCTCTAATACAACAATGTTCACCCATATGTGTATTGGTCTACAACATGTTTTCAGGTACTGGCTTTATAAAAGTGACAATAAAGGGGCTACGAGCCACGCCAGTAAGGTAGCGGTTATAATCCTCAGCCTTTTAAACGATAAATAGATACATGTTGTCACCTAAGAATTCGAATAGTCAAGTAGATTAACAAGGAAGCCAATTATTAAATGGCTAAGTCTTTACTAGATACTTTATAGTTTAAACACGCTTATCTAGCCGTTAACTGGCACCGACGCCAGTATGTCCCAGCTCCCAAGTATGCAATGTTTTCAGGAAAGATAGATAATGTGGATATTGAGCGCCCAAGACAGTTCGCCCAACCCGTACACATTCCCGTATCAAACCAAGAGCTTCTGGTAGTCGGCCTTGATTCCTGTACGTCGACGCCAGGTTGCCCATACTGGTCAGTGTGGAAGGATGATCCGGCCCAAATTTCTGCTTGCTTATCTCCATCACTTCCACCTCTAGCTTTTCCGCCTCCTCCCATCGGCCTTGATTCCCGTACGTCGACGCCAGGTTGGCCATGCTGGTCAGTGTGTTAAGATGATCCGGCCCGAGTTTCTGCTTGCGAGTCTCTATCACTTCCATAAACAGCTTTTCCGCCTCCTCCTACCGGCCTTGAACACTGTACATCGACGCCAGGTTATTCATGCTACCTAACATGGAAGGATGATCCGGCCCGAGTTTCTGCTTGCAAGTCTCTATCACTTCCATAAACAGCTTCTCCGCCTCCTCCCATCGGCCTTGAAAACTGTACGTCGACGCCAGGTTGGCCATGCTGGTCAGCGTGTTTGGATGATCCGGCCCGAGTTTCTGCTTGCTCATTTCCATCATTTCCACCTCCAGCTTTTCCGCCTCCTCCCATCGGCCTTGATTCCTGTACGTCAACGCCAGGTTGGCCATGCTGGTCAGTGTGTTTGGATGATCCGGCCTGAGTTTCTGCTTGCGAGTCTCCATCACTTCCACCTCTAGCTTTCCCGCCTCCTCCCATCGGCCTTGATTCCTGTACGTCGACGCCAGGTTGGCCATGCTGGTCAGCGTGTCTGGATGATCCGGCCCGAGTTTCAGCTTGCGAGTCTCTATCACTTCCACCTCCAGCTTCTCCGCCTCCTCCCATCGGCCTTGATTGCTGTACATCAACGCCAGGTTGGCCATGCTGGTCAGTGTGTTTGGATGATCCGGCCCGAGTTTCTGCTTGCTTATCTCTATCACTTCCAGCTTCAGCTTATCCGCCTCTTTCCATCGGCCTTGAACACTGTACGTCGACGCCAGGTTGTTCATGCTGATTAACGTCAAAGGATGATCCGGCCCGAGTTTCTGCTTGCTTATCTCCATCGCTTCCATAAACAGCTTCTCTGCCTCCTCCCATCGGCCTTGATGCCCGTACGTCAACGCCAGGTTGTTCATGCTACCTAGCGTGTCTGGATGATCCGGCCCGAGTTTCAGCTTGCGAGTCTCTATCACTTCCACCTCCAGCTTCTCTGCCTCCTCCAAACGGCCTTGGTTCCAAAGCGTCGACGCCAGGTTGTTCATGCTACCTAGCGTGTCTGGATGATCCGGCCCGAGTTTCTGCTTGCTCATCTCCATCACTTCCATAAACAGCTTTTCCGCCTCCTTCCATCGGCCTTGGTTCCTGTACGTCGACGCCAGGTTGTTCATGCTACCTAACATGGAAGGATGACCCGGCCCGAGTTTCTGCTTGCTCATTTCCATCACTTCCACCCCCAGCTTTTCCGCCTCCTCCCATCGGCCTTGATTCCTGTACGTCCACGCCAGGCTGCCCATGCTGATTAACGTCAAAGGATGATCCGGCCCGAGTTTCTGCTTGCGAGTCTCCATCACTTCCATAAACAGCTTCTCCGCTGGGCTCCATTAACCTCTTAGGTTACACACTTGGCCTACCATCTCGATGGCAGCAAGACTTTCCTCGTGCGTCCTTCCAAATATCTTTATTCTGTACTTCATTGCATCCTCCGCCATGATTTGCGTCTCAGGCCCCTGGCCTGTTATTTCAAAATACCATGCAGCTTTATAAAGGATCGAAGTCCATGCCTTTAATAACACTCTGTCTTTTGGCCGCTGCGCTTTCGCCGATACGGCGTGCGGCAGAAGCGCCCGGCATATTGCCCAGTTCTCATATGCTCCGGTCGGGAGCCGGGCGTCGAGGCGACGGATAAACTGAGACTTCCACTGTTCCTGCCGTCCCTCGGCTTCAAGCCATTGTCTCGTAGCCAGCTGGACCAAGTTGTGCATTTCAAATGTCTTTCCGTCCTTAACTATAGAGATGAACGAGTAATCGCGCAAAGTCGAGACATCCTTTTCGAACTGATTATCCATGCTAGAATCCGATTCGACGTCTTCGTCGCTTGGTTCTTGGTCGCTGGCCCAACCGTGCAAAGCAGGGCTCCGTTGGTGTCGGTTTGGTATACTCGTGGGGCCTTCCTTCTTGTCCGGACTCTGTAGGAGGCTCTCAGGAATACCTTGGCGATCATAGAAACTCATGAGCGAAAGCAGGTCGGCTGCCGATGGTGTGGTTTGACGGATGTGGTCGAATGAGATTTGCCACGTGATAATAATCGAGTTTTTGGCCTCTCGGTCCCGCCGTAATTGCCCGGCTTCGTAGTCAAGAAGAGTTGCTTTCTTCTGGTCGCTCTGTGTAAACTTGTCGACATATTGTTGCATAGAACAACGCGGAGCTCTGTGCGCGATGTAGGCTGTCGCTTGGACGATTGCTAACGGCATGTATTCGAGTGTCTTGACGAGCGATTCTGCAGTCTTGATGTCATCCTGCTTATCCAGAGTTCCCAGCTTCTTCTCTACCAAGGTGAACGCATCTGCCCGATTCATAGGCTCGACCGTAATGGTATTACGCAGTTCGACCAGCTTGGACGCCACATCTCTGTTTCTGCTTGTGATGAGGAGGGAGCCGTATTGGCAGAGAGGAAGGTATGAGACGAGCGGCTGACTCTGATCGGCCGTGTTATCGAGTAGAAAGCTTACTGCATCGATATTATTGAGTATAAGAACCTATTTCCCACTCTTCTTGCCGTGTAGCCAGTTCTACAGCAGTTAGAAGATGTTATTTTGAGGACTCGTCCGGCCGGGTAGCTTGAGGTAGTCCGCAATGTCTCGGAAACTCTGCTCGTAACGAGGCGCGCTACTCGCGTGGACCCAAAAAACCCACGTCTCGGGCGATCGTTCTCAGATTTGATAGGCATATTCGATGGCGATCTGCGACTTGCCAACTCCGCCCAAGCCGACCAGTGCAGTTCGCGAGGCTGGCTCGCTGCATAAGCGGTGAACCTGGTCGAGGATTGTGTTTCGTTGGACGAAGTCTCTGTCGCGATTAAAAAGAATGACGGCGGCCGGGTTCGGTGGGGTTTCTGGTCGCTCTAGGGGTTCTGGGGGCTCTGGTTTGAACCTAGCGTTAGTGTCGCCTAGATGGGGAGTAGCGGCAACCTACCTAGAGCGTTGTCAGTCAGAATAAAGCGGGTAGAAAACGTGACCGTTTTTTTCCCTTTTCTCTTTTTGTGATGAATTATGGTAACTTATGGTACAGATGAAAATCTCCTTGGATGTTCCCCTGAAATATGCGGCTTCCGTCGCTCGCTGTAGCACTGCCAAACTGCTGGCTTATTGCCGATCGCTCCCGCACCGCTTCCGACATGGTGAACCCAGTAGACGTCTAATAAGTGGGCCGGTTTATGTCTGGGTTCGACTGTCGCAATTGTCATATAGAGTTTGTAGAGTCTATAGAAAAGCGCCTTTAAAGATAAAATGGTCTTGTGGGATATAGTAGATTCTCGGCAGCCTTCTGTTAACAATGACCCTATGCGGAGAAAATCACGTGTCCTTAGTACCAGCGAATCAGAGTGCCACCGGGTTTTGCGGCTGAATATTAATTCTCACGGTCGACATACAAAGACACCCTCCTTGCCCGCGCTTACCATAGCGCATAATCGTCAATTCCATGGATCCATTAAGCATCACCGCGAGTGTAATTGCCGTTGCTGGCCTTGCCACGCAGAGCACTCAAGCCGTTTACAAGGTGATCGATGGCTTAGCCGAGGCACCGCAAGCTATCGCCAACTCGAAGACCCTTGTCGCAGGGACACAGAAGTCATTGGACACCCTCACAGGAACACTGTCGACAAATCAAGACTTGCAGGCCAGGTTTGGCTCTGTTTTGCGATCGATTGAACTCAATAAGACGTTAACCTCTACCCAAGAGCTATGTGACAGATTCAGTACGACAATCACAAAATACACGAGCCATTCGACCGATTCGAGATTCAGTATCCGTAATAGGTGCCTTGTAAACTTGCACGAATCACAGATTGCCCAATTCAACAATGAATTAAGCAGTTGTCAGAGAACTATCTCCTTGGTTATAGAGACGATCATATTGTACGTCTTACCACTCTTAAATTACAGTTGATCAATACTAATGAGGCTTGCTTATTCCAGGATCGTCTCTCATAACACCTCGGACAGTGTTGAAAGGTTAAACATACGGTTCCAAGCCCAGGAACAGGTTCTATCCACCTTAGCTACGGAGCTATCCAATAAGTCCGCTACTCCGGAAGGAGATACTACTGTGCCAAACACCGTGGGTGGTGACGAACAAGCTAGCCTCCAGCGGTTTGCAACCCTGCAAAAAGCCTGCGAAGCTACTCTGAAAGCCACTCAAGCAGAGCGGACCGGCCAGAACTTTGGAGACCTGCAGATAAATCAGTCTTTTACTATGCAAGGGATAGTGGGCGAAGCTCAAGAGGGTGTGGATCAGTCATTCAGAAAGCTGTTGGCACAAAACAACAGCAGGGGATTCCAAGGGCAGATAGATGCGGCTTCCTTCGCTCGCATGTTTGGATGACGTGGGATTGTTGCACAGGGAGGTAGCAATAGAGGTGGGAGGATGGAAAAAACGCTCGGGATACTGTCACTATCAGAAAGAAATAGATGTAGAGATTGCAAATCTTGCCCAGCAAGCTGAGAGAAATGACGAGAACTCCGGGAAAGCAAGTATGGGAGTCGTGTAGACCCCGAACCATAGCATCTGTTCAAGGGATACATATGCAGCATTAGCAGCAACCAAACGCAAATTAAACCGCCATAAACCTCCATTTGTATCAAATGTTTCGAAGTATCAATATGAAGTAAGCATTGTGTGTTTAGACCATGACCAAGCCGTCGAGTCAGTTAATAAGAGGTAAAAGGGTTGTCGCCTAGTGGCGTTGATGCAGTATTTTTGTGCTATTTACATGGAAGGGTTCGGCAACGCGTACTATGTAAGCATTTCTTTGATTGGTGTACCTTTCGCGACTTGGGCCTTGACGGCTTGATGCACTTGTGGTGCCCGTGACATGATCGGGGTTTGGCTCGACGGCGACTACCGGGCCTCCCTTCACGCCTGACAGATAGACAGGCCTACGAGTCTTTGACTGCATGCTCTACTAGGTAATAACCATGGCCGATAGCAACTGTCGGAACAGGCTTGACCGATCAATCATAATACTCGAGTATGGGTCAAAGTTCATGATGTTGTTGATGGGTTGGATTGGGAGGTTTAGCTGGACCTGAAGGTCTGGCTAAGTGACCTCGCAATCCGGTATCTAATCACTTATCTAATCATACATGTGGGTCCTAGTATAGATGGTTTGCAGGCTGGAATCGCATGGATCCAACAGCAACACTAGTATGGCGATATTTGCGGATACTGTCTTGGATGTTCTTACCTACATCACAGCTGCGTGAAGAGACTGTCCAAAGTAGCGAGGCACAAGGGCAACGTATGAGTGGTGATGAGGTAGGAACACCGTTAGGGGCAAGGCTGGACCTTGTCGGGTTACGGATCTCGGTGTACAAGACCGTAGCTACCCCGTGCCGTCCAGCCTCTGTCACGTATCGATCGAGATACCTGAACTGGAGGATCTGTAGACGGGACGCTTGATGCGGGACTCCTTTAGAATAAGCGAAGGACGCTGACATGTGTGAATACTAGGACGTATCCCGACGGGCGGCCAGGAAAACAAGGCAACTTGCCTGCGTTGTACCATGCGCCGCCATGACACTCCATTAAGAGTCACTCTCCTGGATATGTACCACAGAACTCGGAAGATGATTCTGCTACGAAGTAGACCAATCCAATATACCAGACAAGATAGCGGATGCCCCATCAAGACCCGAGTCCCGCAGCCAACCTGCTCGATGTCGCTAAGAAAACATCATTAAATCAACCTAAACCATGAGCTAAATCCGCAACTTATCTAAACCGCAACCCAGTATAGCCACGCCGCGATGTCTTGTAGCAAGGGTTCACTATAGACAGAGTTCACATCAAGTTGACATGTTCCTAGACATTTTGCCATCGTCCTTCATCCTCGGCAGGCCTCCACGTCTGGGAGACTTTCTGACGGAGAGTCTTTCCCGTCTTTCCCGTCTTTCCCGTCCATCTCGTCCCACGGGACCCACGATGACCCGATCACTTTCCAGACCTCAGTACATGATAAAGATCGTCCGCGACTGGCAGGAACAGGCTTTTTGAGGAGATACAAGTCCTGCGTAGTCTGCACGCAAGCGCCTGGGGTCCCGTTGCTGCTTACATTCGAGGCGCAGAAATTGGCCAACACGCGTCGCTGGCGTCTGCACATCCGCCGGCGCCCGAGCGAGATCATCCGTCGACAGTCCATCGCCTCGCCTCCTATCGGCCGCTATGAAATATTCCTGGCGGAGCTGCTCCACACGCAGTTTAGATAGCGACTTGATGATGCTAGATATTTGATGTCCAATATTGGTTCGAGTAGCGGAGTTGACGGTTCTGTGAAGCTTCTAACGCAGTTCTCAGATGTCCTTTCGCTGCTCGAATTCGGCCATATCTTCCGCAGTTGGGTTAACATGGGCCCGCTCATCGCGAGTGAGAGATGCATTACGCAGAACGTGGATTAACTTCTCGTCGCCATTGCTGCCACCGAGGCTTCCAAAAAGGATCCCTGCTATATCTTCTTTCAGGCGTTGAGGCTGGTAGCTCCGTTGGAACATGGTCGAAGAGTGCAACAAGGTGTAGTCACGTAGGGAGGGCTCGAGTGCACCTGAATCTCGTTAGTAAAAAGACGCGCCAGGTCAGTCTCATTACGTACTGTTCAACCTCCCGGCAGCACCGACACGCATCATATAAGGCTCTGTACTGTCGCATTCCAGAGACGAGACAGATACGACTCCATATCTTATTCAGCTTCTCTTGTGTTAATAAAATGGCTGGTATCTTCCCCATATCCTGTTTGAGCGGCAGATTTAGATAGCCGATACCCGGTTCCAGACGTGGCCTGTCACGCAGCTCGTCAAGAGTCCGGTACTCCGCCTCGAAAGCATCATCGGCTAGGGCGCGACCAACAAGGAGGCTCAAGAGGCAAAAGGTGTGGGCTGGAACAACGCTAATGCAGAACGCAACCCTATCGTGCAGAGAGGTTAGCCCACCGCAGGTCTTGGGGGGGGGGGGGGGGGGGGGGGGGGGAGGCTTACTTTTCATCCTGATTGCGTTGTATCGTGTCCTTCTTGCGCCTGTTCTGAAAGATCAAAATATGAGCGACCAGTTTCAGAGCCGCCGGGTTATGGGGATCTCGTGCCAATCCGAATTGGACCTGTTCGTAAGGCAACCTAAGCACCGAGCCGTTTCGAAAGCCAGCGAGGCCAGTCACCAAGAAATATGTGTGGAAGGCGATTCGCTTGGTGGGCGTAAGACGGATATCGGCAGCACGGGTCCAGAGCGTGTCGAGAAACAGGGCGATGTCATCAGGTCAGAACTTCTACGGTCCCGACTCGAGACGCCGCTTTGGAAGGCAGAGGCAGGAAAGATTGTCTGTCACGCATTTCTAAAGCACATTGACATCAATCCCGACGAGTATGTGATGACCTCATACCGTAAAGACCGGAAGTGCTGACGTCCATCAGCTACACGTCACAGTGCGACGCCTTGCTCTCTCTACTGGAATACGTCTACTCTCACTTCAGCGAAACTTACGTCCTGTCGTTTTTTGCCTAGCAGCCACAGGTTTCACGAATGGTTGAGACGTGCCTGTCAGCATCTCTGTTTTGCCATGGCCTGTTCCTTAGTGTTATTGTCGATATCAGCATCGTTGCGGGAAGAACGAAGAAAATAAGCATACATCTAGTTCCAACCAAAGCGGGTACAGTCGCCACTATATCTCTTAGAAACCTGCAACACACCGGGTAGTCCATCCAGAACGAGAAGCACAGAGACGTCGCCACGCGGCGAGGACAGAAAGCAGTGCTTGGAGTAGGTTGCGCAGCTGTTCGCCAGACAGTGAAAGGTTTTCGTCGTCCTCCTGAACCCGCCAGGTCTGGCGCTCGAGACCGGCGAGGCGGCATTGAATTCGTGTGGCCCAACCTGCTTTATCTAGACGACGTGTTGCAGCGAGTGCCATGATGGTATCCAGGCTTTTATTCTGCTTCTTGACAGCCAATAGTAACTTTGCTTAAATCGGGGGACCAGCGTTGATGTGGAGGCCGTTACGAAACGCAGTCGAAGCAACTTGGATGGCTCGTAAGCTGTCGTCTACTAAGAGACTCTCGCAATCGTGGACTCGTTCGTCCCAGGGGCCAACACAATGTTCGTGGTCGAAGTATAGGAAGAGGCCATTGCTAACACTTCCTCCCGCAATCTCGATTTCAGCGGTAACACTGAACGGAAGCGCAACGTCGAGTTTGTTGTACAGATCGAAGGTCTGCAACTGTTGGGGGCTGGAATCCAATTAGTCATGAGAGTAGCTGCCACGGACGTCACGACATACAAAAAGGCCCCCCAAGAACAAACTGATCTAGAGCTTGTTCTGTTCTGCGCAATTCACCCAGATGAACTGGCCGGCAAGGGCATGGTCCTTCGCGCATCCAGGGCAGCGGGCCAATGCTGCGACATTGACTTGTGCAACTCGGTGGTTCGCGGCGCTCATGATGGAATATGCGCGATATTGGATCGGTGAGACAGACGGCGTTGAATCGGTGCAGAAGGCGGTGTCGAGTGTGCTGGTAGCTGGTCGGTATGACGTACGAAGACGAAGATATGGATGATAGAAGGCATGTGAGGAGGATGTACTTTATCGGAAAGTATACCTACTAGGCAGTATCCAGCCGAGGACTCTAAAGGATACGAGAGGGACAGCTACATGCGTAAAGGCAATCACATGCAAGAGTGATAGCACGCAACTCGAGTTGGTTGTATGTGGAAAAAGATGTAGTTGACCGAGACTGCGGCGGAATGTCGACCAAGAGAATTGGTCCCGCACTAGCTTAAGCATAGAGCAGATAAAGCATAGGCCACTCCCATTAAGTCGGTGTCGCCAGTTACCTAAACCCCGCCCCATATCCCTACAGCTCACCGCCTGCTTTTTTCTCTTACCGCCTACCCATTTTGCTCACCGCCTGCTTGTTTATCTCACTGCCTGCCCTCTTACTTACCGCTTGCTCAGCTCATTCACCGCCTAACTGTTTTGCTTACCGCCTACTAAATTTGTCTACCCCCACCCACCTGATTCCAAGGCGGTGTCCGATTTAAGCAGGCGGTGTCCGAGTTAAGCAGGCGGTGTCTGGAACAGGCATGCGGTGCGCGGTATCTGGATTGAACAGGCGTCTTGATCGGGTAGGCGGTGTCGGACGAGGCAGGTCAGGTAGACCGAGCTATCAGCATACAGATACAAAACACAGGATTAACAAAGAACCTGGCACATACATATTAAAATATATTTATAAAACCGTTCTATAGGACTATATCTAGTAAAAGCACTTCGATTAATAAATTCAAGTTATTATCCGCTGTTTCTAAGACCCCATATCACCTCTATGTCCCCATTACCTATTTCCCAGCTTTACTACACTTGGATACATGAAAGGCCCTATGACACAGTGCCGTGAACCCGCAAGGCATGGTTTTGTAGATGTATCTTAGAAGACAGTGTGAAATCGCAGACTTCACATTCTAGTATCGAATCTTGCGCCAAAAGGGATAAATGTTTCCGTTTAAAGTGCTTCGTCAGATCTCCGGGGGTGTAGTATTCATACGTGAGATCTTCTACACGAGGGTCATCAGGCTCCAGAGGGAGCGCGGCTACAATGCATAGGAAGCATCTCCTAGGTCTTTCTTTGTTATTGTGGACAAATACAGACAGTCTAGTAATAGACACGGGGTTATCCTTTGGGGCCCATGCGTAGGTTTAGATCGTGCTTCTTTGGTCGGCAAGGTGAATTTGCGATGTGAAGTTCGTCCTTCCTTAACGCTAGAATAGGTAATGATTGCATTGATGGCATCATCCCTTGGTCAATATTGGCCTTTGAGAGTAGGGTCGACAGGCGCAGTCAGGGCCGTGACTAGTTGTTTCTGCGCTGGAAGTTGCGGACAATGGGTTATGTCCACCGGTACGGGCTTGGTGAATGCGACGCCCTGCAATTGGTGTTCGATGTCATCTATAGCCTGCTCGTCTGTCCAGTCTTCTTGGATCTTTTGGAGGAGCAACCTCTTCAGCCTCTGCTTTAGATTTCGAAGTTCCCATTGCGCGTCGATCTGCTGTTTCGTCCCTAGTTGTAGGTTCTTAAGTTGTCTTGTAAGCCGCCTCACGTTGGGATCTGTATTAACGGACGCCGCTTGCTCAGGAGTAAGATCTGCTGGATGCCGCTTGCTCATCGAATGACCGATACTGCAAGATTGTTTCAATAGTGCTTGTTGCGGCTTCTGGCCGCGAAGGATTCCCCATAGGTCTGCGCAAACAGCGCGACCGAGGTAATGCTTTTGGAAAGGGATCGAGTTGGCGTGGTCTAGCGCCAGGTTACGGAGTGCTTCACTAACGTCCGCTGCATTGAAACGTCAGCACAAAAGATTCCTTGGAAGTACAGGTAGAACGTACGGCTCTGGTCCAATTCATTGCCTGCATTATAGCGCAATGAATATGCGATGGTTGGGTATTGAAGGCCTAGAATCTCTCCAATCCTTTTAATCCATCCCGACATCATGCCATAGGTGATGGGTTCTGCCGGTGATATCTGCAGCCCGATAGAGGTTGTAATGGCTCGGCGGAATATGCATACGCCTTTGAGGTCGTCTCTGAGTGGCAAAGGCAACTCATTCTTGCCGGGGTGGATATCAAGATCGTCTAGATGGCAAAGAGAGACAAGGCTAGGAGCCCGGAAAGCTTGATGTTGGAACAAGATGCCAAGGAGGAAGACATGAGGGCTAAGAAGCAAAAATGGATCAAACATGGTTTCAGGGATCGTGAAGGTCTTACTAAAACACCCGTGGTATCAATATCAAAGAGCCTTGATTTGCTAGGATAAAACACTTACGCATCTTTTGTCCCAAGGTACGTCTTAGTAAACTCGAGAGTAAACTTGATCAAAAGCTTGTGTGGCCCGCCGTCGGGGTCTCTCGCTAATACAACCCGGATGTCTCCAAATCGGAGCCGCAAGATGGATTGCGGGCGCGAGCCGGCAGGTGCCAGGAAGAGAAGATATAAAACGGTAAGAATCCGGAGCTCCCCGAGGTCAAACGACTTCCTTGTCGTGCTCAGTGTCGTCTCAATCTGCGCTTTGAGGTCGTCAATGGTCATAGAGCGGTTTTCCCTCTTTTGGTCGCTCAATTTGTGTTTCTTTGCTAGTGATCTTAAGACCTAAAAGTAAATATTAAAGATAGGTCTTCGGTAGGTTATCAAATGCCTATTTACCTTATGCATGTTGCGATTCAATTTCGGATCAAGCTTCGCACCCATAGCCGTCTCATACACAAGACGAAAGACCTTCCAATTTGTTCCTAGTGAACTGCTCTTCTTCGTTCCCCTTTTTTTCTGTCCATTCTTGCCAACCATTTGGTTCAAGGACCAATCGAAAAAGTTGTAGAGGAGACGGATATCAATAGACTCGAAGCAAGTCTGGGGATCCCGTCCCACTACGCCGGTGCAGAACCTGCCAGAAAAATATCGTTAGCATGAGAAGAAATAAAGCACTAGAATGATTTACGTCCGATCGCTCAATTATATGTGTTACAAGAGAGGAGTGGCTATGCAGGAAGACGAACAAAAGTAGAAAAAAATGAACGGTGGCCTTTATATGCTCCAGACCCGGCTGTACATAACATCAACCCTGCCCTAAAACAGTATCCTTATACACCTACTTTGTGGAATCACCGCCATCACCTTACTTCAGCATTCAGCTACCTTAACCCTTATATACAAATCGTAGTTAATGTTTTTACTTATAAAGAAAAACGACTGTAAAAATTAGTTAAAGCGCTTATAACTTTAACGAATAGAAAAAACTAAAAGCTAGCTAGCTAGCTAGCCTTTATCTACCTATTTATATAAAGCTTAATATCAAACCGTAGTTGAAAGCTTTTATAATAATTAAATCGTAAGGCTTAACGTAAGATGTAGAATAAGCGCCGTTTCGCTTTTTTCACTTTTTTCACCTTTTTAATTTCTTTTAATAAATTAAAACTTATTAAAATAATAGAAAAGGTAAAACATATAACATTAAGGATTTATTAGGCGTTACTAACTTAATTATTAATTCGGCGGTATTAAGCTTATGTAAAGTAAAGTAAATAACATATTGAGTTCGTTTATCTTATAATTACATTCGATATTTAAAGACTTTGTTTAAAACAAAGTAAGTTTATTTAAAAACTATGAACGATATATTACGAACCAACGAACAGTGCGGCCTGATAGCAGGCCCAAAGGGGACGATTGGAAACAGGTTGACCAGAGAGTAGGGTGCTGATCAGTGGAGAGATCGGAGCAACAGAGCAACGGTACACAGATCACGCGACTAGCAGAGCCTGGGTCACGTGACTAAGAATTTGGATCACTGGATCACCATAGTGATCCAGGGTGAGCCACCTAATCAGTGAGGGAGAGATTGGATATATAAGGACAGACATTTCCCAACCAGATAGATAGACAGTCTCTATCTCAGTGATCAATCTAAGCATCTTAGCCAACCCTAAGGTGGGAGAAATCTCCTGACAACTCGACTACACAATGAACCCAGTTCAGACCAAGCCCCAGCATCTGAGTGTCTTCTAGTTGACAGAAGCCTCTATCGTCCTTTGTGTTGACTTACCTCAGAACATAAACCCTATAGAACCCTTTAGCCTTATAGGTTAGACGTCTCGTCACACAATATTAATTAAATATTTTTATATTTACTTTAAAAAAACTAAGTTTCAATTAGCTTTAATAATTTATATATGAATATTATTAAAACAAGTGATAAAATGAGGTAAATTTATATAATTTGTTATTTATAATATCCATTTAAATTATAAAGGTGTTCAATTTTCTTAATAGAAGTTTATCAATAACTTATGCTTGTTTATTTCTTTACTGTTCAAACTTTTTGAAAGTTAAATTTAATAATAATTCATGTCCAGTTGACTTTGAGTAATTTATATATATATACTTATTATAAGTTATATATAGTTATACTTTTTATTAATATAAAACTAATATTAAAAAGTTAGTATTATTAACAAATACCTTATAAAGCTTTTAATTAATTAATTAGTAACTTAAAAATTACTAGCTTCAAGAGTTTTAAAAGATTAAACTATTAAAATTAAGTCTTTTAAAACTTGAACGGATGAAACCTAGTAATATATTTGTCTTACAAGAATAATGAGAATAACAATAACAATAAATATATTAAACGTATACGTATTCAAAAGGTATATTTATTTATTCAGCTGATATTTAATAAGTAAAATATAGCGAAGTCGACCGCGATAATACTCGTAATTGTTGGATCCATGCAATTCCAGACTGCAAACCATCTATACCAGGACCCACATGTATGATTAGATAAGATAAGATAGTGGATTGAGAGGGCACTTGGCCAGACCTTCGAGTCCAGTTAGATTCCTCTCAATCCAACCATCAGCAACATCATGACCTTGACCCTATACTCGAGTATTATGATTGATCGTTCAAGCCTGTTCCAACAGTAATATAAATAAAACGGCTATTTTAAGCCGAATTTAAGTACAGGTCGTAAACAATATCCCTGACTTATAAGAAGAAACGACCGTAAATGTGGGTCAAGTCGCTTAGAGACCTGACGAGCAGGGCTTCTAGCTAGCTAGCAACGTACGGACTAACTTTTAAATGCCCGCTGGCTGGCCTTAGGGGGGGCTCCGAAAGAGCCCTCCCGAGGAGCCCCCAAGGCCAGCCGAGGCCAGCCAGGTAGGGCATCCGCGCACGTCCCGTGACCCGTCTCGCGTCAGAACTTCACTTCCATCTCCTCGGTGCGGCGCCTCGTAGCTTCGATTTTTTGGTAATCTTGCAACTTTCACGGCGTAAGCGTGGTGTGATAATCGAATGATGCCCCCGTCGTCTGAAGCGCCGGCATTGCCGGCCGTCTAATTTTGCTCCGTGATGCAAGACACGCTTCTTTGCCTCGAGTGACGATACCACCCCTTCTTGTTGCCACCCCGTCACGTTCCGTGCCTGTTCCAACGTCATCCTGCAGACACCGCCATCGCCCAAGTCAACATGGCATCACGCAAGTTCGTTGACCCCATGACGCTGCTCCAGCTCGCGCCGGTAATATCATCATCCTGTTCGCTATGGTACTCCCGAGACCAGCAATTCTTCCTATCCAACCTCATCCAGCCAAAGCACCACAACCTCAGCAACCAGATCCTGCCGCCCTACTTCCAGTCCTTCTTCTGGCCCGGCACAGCCGCCGTGGTCGGCCTGCTCGGCACCACCTTCTGGTCATCTATGGCCGTGCTGCGCTTCTCCGGCACGCTCCTGCGCGACCGCGACTCGTTCAACTGGTACGTGGCGGGCGCGTCGTTCGCCGCGGGCCACCTGCTCTTCGTGCCGCTGGTCGCGCCCCACGTGAAGGCCATTTTCGACGACCGCAAGGATGGGAATGTTGACGAGCTGCGGGGTTGGTTGCGCGTCAATGCTATTCGCACGCTGACTGTCGATCTCGCGGCCTGGGCTTGCTGTGTTGTGGCTGCCGTCAAGACTTTCTCCCCTTGAGCACGGGCTGGCCTCTGTCAGGGTGGTTGGTATTGCGCGCCTGTTTGTTCGAAGGACGACGGTAAATATTGGAGAAGAGGCGTCCGCCAACATTATTCACTGTCGGTTTATGGTATCGTGCTGGTGTCATAGATTCCGTCCTCAAGTTTCCCAGTCTATACCTCATGAAGCTCAGTTGCCGTCCACTGTCTGTCCGCAGACTGATGGGAATGTTCATGTATCTGTAGCAACACGAATCACCGCGCCGCTTGTACCAGCATGCCTACTTCATCAAGTACATAGCTTGACTGGTATAAATGGCATAGTCAAAGGCCTCTGCTGCATGCTCCCGTTGCTCAGAACAGCCTCATCTCAGAAAAGATTGTTGGCCCAAAGTCGAGGGTGTAGGATCCGCCAAGCGAGCTATGTGCTCAATCGTGACCTCATGGTAGATACACTTATTTACATGGTCCAGCCCATATCAGTTCGGTACCTTTCCGTCTAGCTTGTATCGGCTCGGAAACGCTGACGCTTTGAGGGCACTCCGGGTTGCTGAGCACCAGGGCTTTGACTCACAGTGTCCTACTTGAGAGACAGCATCTTTCGGGCGGGCACATTTCTAATGAGACGTGAAGCATCGGCGTAGATGGTGGACATTTAAATGACTTAGTCTAACTGTCTAAGTACCTGACGTAGCCGAAGCGAGTGTATTTATTTCTATCTAACAAAGGGACGTGCGACCTATCTGTTTCCCGAGTCTCGCATCGACTACACCAGTCGTGCCGCCAACATTCCCATACTCCGTGTGACTACTTCCTCACGAGCCTTACCCGGGACACGAGCATTGCCCGTCCTCCTCCGCAGGGATCCAGCACCTGGAGCCCTAAAGAACGCCTCAATCAGTACGCTTGCTCCTTGCAACGCAGCAGCACAGCTGATACGGACGCGGGAGCCGACTTACCAGGGGTGCCCACGTTTCTTCGCAATTGCACTTGTCATGAGAGCCATCGCATGCCACGCAGATGTAGGGGTTCCCTCTATAAATCGTGCCTCTTTTGACCGTCTGTTGACAGATAATTGTTAGCCCGGGCCGCGGCTACTATAACATGTACACGCCGGTTCGTATCGCCGCTTTTGGCCGGCTGATCTGCTCACTTACACCTTCTTTCTCGCCCGTTCTCTTTGCTGACTCTGGTTCTTCCCCTGCCCGACGCAGCTTGGAGGAAGGCCCTTCAGCGTTGGAGTCTGACGGCGGCGAGTACGACCTGGCACACGCGTCCACGGTTGCTTCCGAGCCGGAGTGGTGGAGGAGACCTCGGGCTATGTCCTGGGTTCCGGTGATTGGCTTGACTGCACGCGGTACGGCGGCCTGGGCGCCCGTGAGCGCGGTGGTGGCGACGACGAGAAGTGAGAAGCGCATGCTGAGAGCGGGTTCCGAGAAGTTCGTGATTGGGTGCTGGTTTGTGTGTGGCTTGGATGCTTTGCTTGACTTGAGAATGTTGATGGTAAAAAAAAACGAGACGGCGGTTATCTTGTCTTTTATGAACCTGCTCGAAGCTCTTCTCGGATTTCACTTATGATGTCCAGTCCCCACCGTCGTCGTCGTCAAGGCACATGAACTGCGTGGGCCATTACCGAGGACCCCGTTCAGGATGTCATGGCTGCAATGCTTAGCTGCCCGTGTGCTGGGGATAGGGGTCCCCTGTGTCTCAGCAACCGTTGGTATCAGAGGCAAAGTTGTCGACCTGGCCCCTTTCTGCACCGAGAAGTATTGGTCGAAACCTTCAATTCTTCAATGGCTGACACATTCGGGTCAGTGACTATAGGTCGCCTCATTGCCTCGCATACGGAGCAGCGGGTCAGATGGGTCAGGTGGGCAGAGCCCCTGGGTGGGCCTGGACTTGCCCACGTGATGTAGGGACGTTTCTAGGTCCTACTGGGAGAAGAAACACTATCGCAAGAAAGGTACCGACACGTAAATAAGGTACCTAGCCAAGACGAATTCGTGCAGGATTAGATAGAGATAAGTCATCCCCATATTCCTCACGCCGTTATTGATAGGTATTATAGCTGCCTAAGTACATGGTAGGAAACCTAGGCCGGCAACCTAGCTAGGCAGCAACCTAGGCAGGCCACCCACGCAGGTACCCCGATACCTAAGTAAGCTTTGCGTACTCGGTAGCTCCGAGCGAATTATACCTACCTTTTGAACATCTAGTTTGTGGTTACCTAATCAAGCTGGCTATCTACAATGATTTCGTGGACTCCGAGCACGAGACAATGCCGAGGTCTGGGCTCAGATAACGAGGCCCCTCGTCTGCGTCCTCGTCGTGACCGAGCTGCCAAACAGTGGCAAAAAGGCTGCCCGGCATAACCAAATCCTCGAGACAAGTAACAGCTGCTAGCAAGTGCTGAGTAGTACTTGTGGAATTCCGATTCGAGACAATTCCAATGTCTGGATCTTCTAAGAATTGTTCACCGAGAGTCCAGATGAAGTATATTCAAAGTGGTTGCATGCTATCTCACCAAGTATAACTATACTTATCCATGGCTAGGAAGTCTGCTTGTATTTCATGCCGAAGGTTGACGAACACACACGGTCACGACATCGACATGCGCTTTGAGCACATGTCAGCAACTGCTGGCCGGGTGGATGTCTTCTCTTCCATAGATAGGGGAGGTTCATGATTTCCGAATAACTCACACAACTATATCCGGGGAGGTGATGGAAGTATTACTGTACAGACAACGTTCCCGCACGACTCATCTTATAAGGTTCCCGCCATTGCAACTCTTTGTCCACTGCCCACATCGCTAGCCCACTACCACTCGCTGCGGACATCAGCTCGTTCTTCGGCCACAAGTAGAAATTTGGCCGTTTTTAGAGCGCGAACCGTAGAGATCTGCGTGACAACCATAAATGCGATATTTGCCGGAAACATCCATGGCCTGAAACCAGGCAATTCTTTTCGCCGCGCGTCCAGCAGTGTCCAATGAGCCAAGCCTCCCATCAGAAAGGTCCCCGTGAAGAACCAGGTCTTATGTGCGACCAAGAAGCGTGCAGCTTCGATTCTTGATTTGGTGGCATTGGATTCGGGCGGGCTTCCCACTGGTCGGGATGTATCGTGGATCTTGGCAGGTCCCCGGGGGTCGTACTGATGGTGAGGGTGAACTTTCAGATGAGAAGCAGGAGGTGCTGGTTCGTGCTGTGTCTGTCTCGGCTCCTCGGGCGTGACCGGTGCGGATGAGACCATGCTGTCGGCCCATCTAAGAGCGGCGTACATGGGCAGATACCAGGTCAGGTGGCCGAGCATAAGAGCGCCCACACCGGCCGTCAGGCTATATCTGCGGGTTATACCAAAAGTCCTTGTGATTATCTTGTTGAAGACGCTGCGCTCATGCGTGTATGTAGGCGAGCGCAGAGCTAGGAAAGAGAGCCAACCGGCCTTGATCGAATCCCTTTGCTCGTGTAATACCCCGGCAAGCCGCATTTTCATGCCATTGGGAAGCCCCGGGGGCCGCACAGCCGCGAGCATTACATAGGCGACCTTGTGGTGAACGGACTGTGACTCTTTGCGATTGCTGGTATGAGGTACTTTGAAGCCGCTTCGAAGCTCGCTCCTGTGGCTTGGTATGAGATACTTGATGGTTAGCGAGGAGGAGCACGTAAAAGAAGCGTGCCGGTGACTAGGAAGGGGGGAGGTTGACTCGCCCACCACGTGACATGTCGCCGCGGGCTGTCTCAGACAGTGATATTCACCAACGGACACGCCATTCCTAAAGAAAAAGCAACGCGAGGAGATGGCCTTAGGTAGCGGAGACAGGTATCTCCAATGCAAAGAGCCTCATCCTACGCATAACCTTTGCCTCATTATATGCCAAACAGCCAGTCTGGCTCCAAATGTCATGGGAGAGCACGGTCAGCATGGAGATTTGTCATGATTTGAGTGAATATGCCTACTACAGCAAGAGTATCTCCGGCCTGATACCTTGACGTATCAGCTACCGGAATAACCGTCGACTCTTCTTGTTCTGGTACCTACTTGGGGCATCCGAACAGGTCGCTACCTGTATACAGAAGGCAAAAGAGACGTCCTTCCCGGCTTCTCTTTGTACCCTTGCGCCCGAACTTACATTTATCCGATCCTAAAGGTTTGGATACCAGTGGAATAGACTGGTGCCAACTCGGTCAGAATTCACATTCAAGCGGAAGAACCGCGTTTCGCGGTGGTTTTTCCCGTAGCAAGCCACCCATTCGTAGTGATTCGGCGCTTTCAAGCCGCTCAATCGATGAGTTGCCAGCTGGGATGTCTTTGATGTTGATATCCATTTATCAAGCGGCTATAGCGCCGTGGAATTAGAGGCCACGGCTCTGATACTCATACATACCCCTTGACGACTCAAGTAGTCCCAGATATGTCACCGTCATCACACCATGCCAGCTCTCCTTTGCCGGGAAACCAGCAGCACAAGCGCGTACTAGAACTCGACGACGACGACCTCAGCGACCTCAGCGCCGCCCTCAAAGGCCTAGCGCGAGGAAGTTACCCCAGACTCGATGCAGTTCCCGTGGCATTGAACGCCTACGCCTACAGGGCGCACCGGTCTGATGCCCGGTCACAGCCGCGCGCGTACTTCCACAGTATCACCACCGTCGCAGCGCAAAACTCGCGGTCAAACGCCCTACCCGTAATGGAACTCGACAACCCCGTCCTGTACGACCTGGACAGGCAGTGGCATCCGATCCGGTATGCAGCGGCTCCGAGTCTCATCCAGGATCCAGCTAGCTACCGCTTCGTCTGTTTTATCCATAAGCACCGCATCGATTTGAGGAGCAGTAGGCAGAAAGCCATCTACACGATCAGCATCTGGGATCGCGAGGTAGGTCGGGCGTCTTGAGAGGCTTGTTTTCGTGGCACTGCTGACGATGCTGGTACAGTGGGACGAGCTCACGTGGCATGACACGTACCCCCTATGTCGAGAAGCCCGCCGTGATGAGATTCGGACCTTCTGGCGCACGGTCGCTATGCCGGGCTTCCCGCTCGGTCATCCGCGGCAGGAATTCATGGACCGGATACGGTATCGTACGGGCTACCACGCTTGTGAGCGTGTAGAGCACATGATCCGCGACAATATCGCCCCACGGCATACCCTCTGGTCTGTCAGTGAGTGATACCTCAAGTCAATCCTTGCCCTTTTTAGGCATGTCGTAGGAGTTGGTCTTCATGTTGGTGGTACCTTTGCCGACGACTCCGAGGAGGACAGTGACTGACTGAAGTTGCTGCAGTGGCCATTGCAATCCACCATATGAACAACACGCACGACCCGCAAGTGAGCATCGTGCCAGACAAGCTGGAGCTCTTCGGCGGACAAGCGAAGGAGCTGCTGCCGCAGTTCTTCGCGCACGTGCTGTGGATGTGCCTAGATGCTCGGCCGGACTGGAGTGAAGACCGGCAGAGACGATTCGTTGCCCAGTTCAAGATTCTCGAGCGTTTGCGGTGGATGAAGGTTCGTACTCGAAAGTATCTGGAGCGTCGTGTATCGCCCGATGGGGGTGGAGACGGAGGGTCGCCAGAGTGGGTGTTTGAGTGCCTGAGGATATGAGGACCCTCATTGCTATCCCGGGGGATTGAATGAGTGCAGAGGCCAAGGGTGGTGGTTTGGGACTGTGCGGGCGACCAGTCCCCAGTGTATTCACTGGTTGGGTACTGGGATCTGCAGCTGAAAGTTTCCTGGCTTCTCTTCTCCGATAGATCTTCACTGAGAAGCAGATGAAGGCTTTGAAAATGGCACAACCAAATCAGAGCCACGTCGGAGAACATACACTGCATCGCTGTCCAGATACGTATCATGTCATCTGAGAAATCGAGCAGTGATCCGCATGTCACATGCGTCTAAAAGAGCAAAACGTAGCCGCCCGACACTATCTCTAACCAAGTCAGTGAATAAGTAGAATATAACGTATGGAAGGCAGGCATAGGAAGCCACAGCGAAAGCAAAACACGCTTATACCCGACACCATGTGAGACGCCCCTCCGAACCAAGTCAAGCACACGTTCTCCTCGCAGCCCACCTAGCTGCTCTTGCTGCTCTTACTGCTGTCGCTGCTCGAGCTGCTGCTGCGACTATGACTCTTGTGCTTGTGCTTCTTCTCCTTGTGCTTCTTGTGCCCACCATAAGCAGCGAATGCTCCAGCACCAGCGGGCATCCCATAGCCAGACGGCATGTGCCCACCACCGCCATGTTGCGCCCCATGCTGCGTCCCGTATCCGGCTGGCGCGTGTCCGCCTCCATGTCCGGAGCTACTGCCGTGTTTGCCGGCCCCGAGATAAGAGGCCGCCGCCGCTGCGCCCATGGCCAGAAGCGGGTTGCTGCCACCGCTGCCACCGTGGCCACCGCCACCGTGGCTTCCGCCGCCCATCAAGCCTCCGATCATCGAGCCAAGGCCCTTGTCGTGCTCGCCTTGTTGACCACCCCCATGTTGACCTTGTTGGTGCTGCGCGTAGGGATCGCCGCCCTGCGCATGTTGGTTCTGGTAGCCCTGTTGGGCGTAGCCTTGCGCGGCGCCGTGCTGGCCGCCCGGGGGCGCACCGTAGGGTTGCTGCGGCGGATAGGGAGAGTGGTGGCCCTGCGGCGGCGCACCATACTGTTGGTTGTGCGATTGTTGAGGCGGGTAGGGCGAGTGCGACGCAGATGGGCCACCGCCGTATTGATGCTGGGGAGGGTACTGGTCCTGCTGCTGGTACTGCTGAGGAGGATATTGACCTTGGGGCGGGTATTGTCCATGTTGCGGAGGGTACTGTCCTTGCTGGGGGGGATACTGTCCCTGCTGACGGGGAGGGTACCCTTCACCGCCACCGTTGCCACCGTAGTAGTTTTGGTTAGACATTGTCACCGGTGGTGTTCGAAACTATAGACAAATATCGATGCGGTTTGGTCTCGTAGGTCAATCGCCGCTCGGGTCCATTGCTCGCGTTGAATAGGTACTAAGTAGTTGAGAAGGTGTGTTGCTGTTGGAAGAAGCGTCAGCACGAGCAAAAAACGGAAGGATGAAGACAGAGAGCTGTCCGCGGGCGGCCTCTTGGCACAAAGGCCATTCAATGAGACCTCGGGCAGTGATGACCAACAGCTCTTGGCGATATTTGTCGCTGACGTCGATTGTCCCGCGTGGTCCAAGTTCACCACCTGCACCTCGAGTCACCGCGACTCCCATGCGCGCGTCACCGCTGTGGGTCTGTGTTACACGTCTGTTACACTGCATTCCATTGCAATCAACTTGGCTCACTTATGATTGGTTTATAGTCCGATGGGATTGAAGAGCTTACCGGTAAGCTTGTACACTTGCAGTGATCCTTCGCAGGGATGCGAAACCAATCCTCTGACTGGCTCTGACCCGGGAGTCTGATTCGAGTTTCAAGCGAATAGGGGCATATGTACCTAAGTTATCGATACTATCTAACCATTGCCGGACTTGTAGCTGTAGGGTTGATCAGGCAGAGGTCGCGCCGCGGCACGCCCTTTGTCACACGTAATGCGTCCTGAAGAGTTGACTTACATATACTAGTATGCAAGATTTAAAGGGATGTCAGATGTCCCTCGAATGAGGTCTAGCAGGACCTACATATGCAAACCCGGCGCGCGCAAGATCTCCATCTGCGTTTAACCGATCCATCCCCACGGGGTAGGGCCCGTATTTAACCGCAAGCCCGCGCTACTGTTTTAGGTACATTATATAAGTACTATATACAGATGTCGGGGATGGGAAATGTTAGCGTCTCCATATACCAGGGGGCTCTGGGTCCGAATGTGATGGTATTTCGCACGCCATAACATAATGGGAAGTGACCAGCTCTACACCACTCTGAGATTTCGTCGATCACCAAGTATATTCTGCGCACATCTAGCAGGCAAAGTACGGACCCATCATATGGAGCCGCTAACATTTGCCATCCCCGACATCTGTATGTTGAGTTAGCTCGAAAGGGGAAGCGGAACATCTCCAGCGTGACACATAAACCTGATGGCTTATCGCACAGTGATAGAGAACTTCTGATTCGTGCAACATCCCCAGGTTTCACCAAGTTCGACCACTCTCATTCACGATGAAAGGCCACCATTGCACTCCCTCTCCTCATCCACTCCCCTAAACCTGCAACAGCGCTAGAGCTGCTTGGGCGTTTGTATCTTCGGAGCCGGGAGCCCGCGAGACCACCGTTTCCCAGGGCTTCGGAACGTCCGCGGGCTTCGTGAAGATTACTCGAGATATGGACGACATCTATTGAGAGACTGGATCACGTCATGCTACTACCAACTCGCACTGCCTGACAACTCTGCAGGCTCCGTGTACGCGCTCAGTTCGACACGGCGTGTCTGCTCACTCAATTCAGTGCGGGGCCCCTGTTCGTCCAACTTCGGCGTATAACCTGATACCGGTGCCGTCTCGTTCCTTGCCCCTATTCCAGCGCGTTTTCTTCTGCCAATCTTGTAGGCCACGATGATGACGGCGACTATCAGAAGTGCACCAGCCGTCACCCCGACTCCGATGCCCGCTTTGGCGCCAGGAGTAAGATTGCGACTGCCAGTGCTGGGGCTGCTGGCAGAGGGGCTCGGGCTATCCAGAGACGAGGAAGAGCTCTCTGAAAGTATGGTAGCGCTATTCACCAATCCGTTTGTGATAACTGGTGTCGATGAGCTGGAAACAGTAGATTCGCTTAGGGTGCTTGAGCTGGAAGCAGGAAATACTCCCAGAGTGGTGAAGCTGGAAGCAGTAGGTTCGTCTAGAGTGGTTGTAGCGATAACACTCCATGGCGGGTCTTGTGCCTTCCTGCGTATCACCACTCCTTCGGCGTAGACGATTTCCCCGGAGGCGAACAAGGAGGTAGTGCTGCCAATGCTGATACCGTCTTCTATGGTTTCATAAAAGTTGAGGGATAACGATGAGTCGCGGAGGAGAGTCGAATGGCAGGCAGCATCATCAGCCCCCCGAGACACATAACAGTTGAATTCGCTTTACCATAGGGTTAGCGGTGAATCGACAACTGTGAATAAACCATGGCTGACCTGGGACAGCATGTAGCCTGCGTGGTACCTGCGCCGACACCTGTAGTGCATGCATACGCGTATCCGAGCGGGCACACCCCTGGAGAGTAAAAGTATCCAGACGCCCGGGTGAAGCGGGTAGGTAGACACGAGGATGTGTTTGGCCAGTAAGTGCCGTATTGGAGCCAAGCGCCACTTGTATCCGATCCCAAGAAAGTAGTATCGCATGATGAGCCCCTCGGAGTATAGGCCGGGGTGAGGGGGCCTAGGTTGGACATGGTGTCAGGTGGAAGAGGACAAGAAAGAGTTTGGACTGGGACTGGGACAGGGCAGCGAGTTGGGTTAAAAGGCGTATTTATTAAATAAGACCTTCCGGCCCCAAGGTCACACAGCCTTACGATGGCACTGTTGGAGTGGCTGCTTATGGTGGTATTGGGGGTCGTAACGTAGATACTGCGAAACGTGCGCAACGCCACCAAGGATCGGAGTACGACATGAACGCGTGGAAAGTGCAGTATCAGCGTTTTCCCAGTCACTGTTTCAGGCGTGAGGGTGTAACCTTTCAACTGTTTACTCTTCCTGGTTGTACTGGACCTCTGGTCACAACATGACTGCATGACCGGTGGTCACACAACAGAATAACTCGATGAACGCTTGGGAATAGCATACAGGCAGGAGCTCATCAGTCATAGCTGAAATTAATCTAGGCATGTCCCCAATGCTAGCACAAGCGATGAATCAAAGCAACACATTGAAGATCGTAGCATGACATCTCTATGCATCTAAATTGAAACATTCCTAGTCTGGCTATCTCGTGTATCCTTCAAGCCCCTGTTGTAGACCCCAGGTAAAGAGGCCCTTAGAACGCCCGACGATGGCGATCAATCAAAGCTGCGACAGCCCTGGCATGCTACATCCCGATTCAGTCCGCCTCTGTCAATCCAGCCACTCGGAACTCATGCCGTCAAACCCAAATGCTGTTCTCGCGCGCCTCCACCTCACGAAGCCTTACCAGAACGTCGCTCCCAACGAATCACAGCCGGCTGAGCCGGCCTCGAAAACAGCGACGTATAATCCGTCGGCGGAACCGTCGACTTCCCATCCAGCGTACCGAGCTTCATATGTCTCACGATAGTCGAGATGATGGTAACGAGATTGACATAGGCGAACTTCTCGCCAATGCAGCGGTGGCGGCCCGCACCAAAGGGCAGGTACGCACTCCGTGTGCCCTTGGACATGACGCCGTAACCGTAGTCCACCATATCCTCCTCCGTCTCGACCTCGACGCGGCTGTCCCAGCGGTGCGGGTCCCAGACCATGGCGTTGGGGAAGTGCTCCTCGCTGAGGTGCATCACGATGGGTGATGCGACGAGCACCTTGTCAGCCGTGATGACGTAGTCGCTGTTGGGCACTGGCATTGGGTTCTTGACCTTGCGCATGAGCGAGTGGATGGACGAGTGGACGCGCAGCGTCTCCTTGACGACGTTCTGGAGGAGGGGGAGCTTATCGATGTCCGAGTGTTGGAGCGGTTGGGAGCCGTTGTATCCGAGGTTCTGCACCTGCTCATGGTACAATTCCTCGACCATGTCCGGCTGCGATGCCAGACGGAGCATGATCCAGGCGCTGGAGGACGACGATGAGTGCTGGCCCGCCATGAGCATCGTGATCATCATGTGCGCGATCTCCATGTCGGGGATTGCCTGTCCGTTCTTGTAGACGCAGCCCATCAAGTGCGAGATCATGTCGTCTTCCTCCATTATTGTGCCGACTCCCTTGCCATTACTGTTGTTCCTACGGCGGCTGATTATATCCTTGTATATGGCGCCCATCTTGGCGTTTGCGGCGTCTCGTCGTCGATTCTGGGGGAGCGGTGCCCAGGGCATGAGGAAGTTGATCGGTCGGAAGCCAAGATCGAGGTCGTGGTAAAGCTCGGCAAATTCGGCGGTCAGCTTCTTCCTGACCTCGGCACCTTGGAGTGACCGGCTGGCTGTGAATATGGTGATTTCAGACATGGCGGCCGATATATCGACCGTACCAGATGGTCCCTTGAACGCCGGGGCGGTCTTGAGATAGTCGAGGGTCTCTTTCTCGATCAGGGGAACGTGTGCTTTAAGTGCCTTCTGGGTGAGACCAAACTTGACGAACTTCTTCTGTTCCATAAGCTTCGCGTTTGGGCAATCGTAGACCACATCGCTGCCAAAGACGGGTATGGTCAGGGGGCCGTAGATCTCCTCGGCGTTGAGATCTTGAAGTTTGCCGTTGAGGATGAACTCGTTACCAGCAAGGCCAAGGTACACCGTCATCTTCTTGCCAAATAAGATGAAGGTAAAGATGTCGCCATGCTTCCGTTGGCATTCCTTGTAGAAGTTGAAGGGATCCGTGCCGTACGAGATGGCGTTGCCGACGAAGGGAAACCAGTGAAAGACAAGAGGGGGGTCTGATTTCTTGTGAGGGAGCTGTTGCCAAAGTATATTGAAAGTGACCGAAACAAAGAGCAGTCCCAAGAAATAACCTAGGTACTTGGTGGGCGTGTTGAGGTCCATTCTTAGGTAGGGTTGCTACGTTTTGGCAGGCTGTGGTATAACCAGGAACAGTGAGGATGTGAGACGCCGCGAGGAAGACACAGGTACTTCAGGGAGGAAATCAAGCGTAGGTAGCAAGGAAGTGGCGATGCAGAGGAAGAAACACGATGCCACGGCATGAACTTACTGGGCAAGAGCTCAACATCGAAGTAGGGGAGAACTGATATAAGTGAAAGCGGTAATGCCCAAACGGGACGGGCGTTGGTCTCGTATTCGTATTCCGAGGTACTTAGCTACCTACCTACGCACCGTACTCGCTCGCATAGGTAGGACACAACTGGGCCGCCAATCCTGGGCCTACCTAGGATATCAAAAGAGTCTAAGCTCCGCAGGCAGATCTCAATACATATCTTCCGGAAGGTGCCTAAGGCACACAGATTTAATCTCGTCCATAAAGCTGGGTGTTCCCTCGAGGTACCTAGGTACTTCTATCTTGCCAGTTGCTGGGTACCTCAGGCACCTCCTGCCAGGCGCGTGCCGCCTGGCAAAGAGTGGGACACCCGACTTTACAGCACACACACTCACCCCTCTAATCAACCACCAGGCAACCCTTCAGAATCTCGCCTTCAACCTTTTCTTGTGCACAACACCGAGTGCCAAATTTTCCTCCGCACACATCACAGGTCCAGGGGGACATCTCACCTACCGGCCCGCCAATCGACGGGACGGCAAGATTCAGAGAAAGAAAGCACTGCAGAAGCACTGGACTGCAGAGCACTCAAGAAAGGTATTGATCGATCCGTCCATTTTGTTGACACGATGCATACACTGGACATTTCACCAGTTCAGTTCTTTTCCCAGTGCACGTAGCCCTGGTGGTTATGCAAAAATTTCCTCATTTTTCTTCGCCTGCAACCTTCCCTAGCACCTTCAGCACGTCAGCTAACAGTGAACTCAAATAAGGTCGACAACACAGCAACATCCGAAGCACATCATGGAAATCTCGGAAGCCCAAGCGCGAAAATGGGAGAGTAATGGAGGTCCTCTGTACTTTGAGACCCTCTACTTCGTCCAGGAGCGCATGAAGGATTGACCCACCCGCCTGTCCGAGTACTGGGACCGCGAGGCAGAGATGCGCAGAGTTGAGACCGGTCAACTTCCCATCGCAAGATCAACCGATCAGTATGCTTCTAACTCACTCAACCCGCTCATCCTCGGCACTCTGCGGAAACAGCGCATCGGCACCGAATTTCACGGATTCATGCACCTACCCATCGAACTCCGGAATCTCATCTACAAACACCTCCTCATCCAAGTCACCGTCTTCGTGCCCAGGGTCGGTCTCAATTACGATGTAAGCTACGATTCACGTCGCACCATGGACTGGGTTGAGCGTCGCTACAGCCGTTATGCCGACATACCACACGACTGGGGCAAGCTCTATGAGGCCGGAAAGCGCATTGGCCTGATCTCAGGTGCGAGTCAGACTGTGTTCTACGGTCGTAACCGGTTCGTGTTTCCCTACGGAGATTTCAGTTTCACAGAGGATAATATCTGGGGGCCCTTACCAGAGTACCGCCAGATTCACACTCTGCTGCGCGATGTCAGTATATCGTTCGACATGCGCGACTGTCGACGCAAGGATTACTGTCCCATGACGAATCGATATCGGTATGGCGTCGTGGCTCAGGAAGACGCGGAAGATTCGCAGGGAAACGTTCCTGCTGCACCCACTGTCGCGCGTCAGACGTACTTGGAGCTGGTTCACAATGGGATCAAGTGGACCACGGAGGAGGCATTCATGGGGCAGATCTATGTACTGCATAAGATGGAACTGAATAGGTTGCAGCTCGATCTCGAGGAGTGCTATTACGCCATGGGATGCTGCTGGATGGTAAAAGACGTACTTGATGAGTTCATCAATGTCGTTTGGGAAGGTCAACTCAGCGTCTTGGAGATAATGGGATGGAAAAACGACGCAGAGAAGCAGATGATCGAGAAGAAAGTGCAGGGAATGAGATGGGGTGGCATCCGGGCCAGCATCGTGTTTGTCGGCATTTCAACCACAGAAGCCCGCGCTGCCCGCAAACTTGCATATGCAGCGCAAAACTGAGCGGACGCAAACCACACGCGGTCGTACGGGACTCAGAGAAGTGATTCTGGAGGGAAGAGACAGCTGCAAGACACGGTTTGACACCGAGCAGAACATAATGTAGCACATGTACTTATAGCAAGCAAATCAGACCCATTTCGCAAATGCGTCCTTTCCTACTCCCGCGCAAGTATCGTTTGGGTACTTCACCACAATGCAGAGACAACATGTAAGCCTTAGGTAACTTACAGCCGCTAGGCAAAGTTCAGATCCAAGGATAAAGGGCAGAACTGCAGCGTTCGCCTCCACCTCAGCATCAATTCCCAGCAGCGTAATGGAAACAGCAATGCCCGAAGCCGACCACATTCCCAAACACTGAAACCGGCGGTCAGGACCAGCTACCGAGAATACTCACATAGCGATGTGACCTGCCCAAAAATCCCTGAGACGTGTTTACCGAAGTTGTGACACGGCATGCTATGCATTGGAGAGGAGGATGATGGTGCAATGCGCCTCTACACAGAGGCCGTACCCAACAGCTATCTCCAATACCTCACTAGCATTCGACCAGTAACCTGGAGATTCTTATCACTGGCGTCGTTCAAGCCAATGAGCCGATGTGTATGGTCGTAGGGTACGAGAAACACGAAAAGTGGTGGGTACACATAGGCCCCGGCAAGAGACCACACGAGGCATACATAAGAAACTCATATTGGATATCTACCAGATCTATCAATGCGAAGTACCCGAATGGCCACACGCTTAAATCCGCCCCCGTCGAAAGCAACCATCACAACAGACATGAAGCACAACTCCACATCTCGAACACCGCTCGATGCAACATAACAGGCCTTTGCGCAATGGATTCCTACCACCCTCGTCCTAGCCAGTCAAGTATAGTCTTCGCTTTGCCATCATCTCAGGGCCGTGTTTAGCTTGAAGACGCTTGAGCTCCTTCGCGCGCTTCTTCTCCTCCTTCACAGCCTTGGGTGGATTCTTAGAGTCCACCAACAAAAGCGACTCATCGTCGCGCTGCGTCCAAACACCAGATGTCCGCTGTGGAAGACCCTCCCCACGCTTGAGTATCTCCATGACGTGGCCTGCATTGCCTATATGCCATGTCGTTGCCTTCAATGCGCGAACGACGATATCATTGGGATACCCAAGCGAGAGAAAGCGGTCGATGATTTCATCTGCTTTATCTTTAATAGGGGTAGGTGCTCTGCTAGGACCGGGTTCCGGGCTCCTCTGGGGGGAAGCCTGAGGCTTGGGCTGAGGCGCAGGCGTCTTAGATAATGCTTTTGTCTGGGAAGCTTTGCGGACCCAGGTTTTCGGAAGAGAGCGGCGAATCGGCTGTGCTGCTTTCAAACTCGCTGAAGGGGGGCCGCTATTTCTGGGCCTGACAACACCCTCTGATTCCTCGCCGGACTCGTCTCGCAGGAATGGATTGCGTGCAACGCGCTGCGACTTCGTTCCGGTATGCGGGGGTTCAAAGTCGTCCGGAATCTCCGAGGACCTCGCATCAGACTCTTGCTGGAGCTGCTGAGATGGCGTTATGTTCATCTGAGACTCTTCTTCTGCCTCATCGAAGGCGAATCTCTGGGTTTCAGGATCAAAACCGAAATCCTGCGTCTCTGGTTCAACGATACGCTTCCGGGTACGAGGCATGGCTGGTAGCTCCTGAAGTTCGTCGCGTGTCTCATCATCGTCGTCCTGAACACCAGCGTTTGGCTGGTGCGGTTCTCGAAAATGGGACATACTGCCAGTAGCCACAAACGAACGGTTCGCAGTAGGTGTTGTCTCAAGATCAGGGTAGAGGGCCACAGTCGAGCGTTTCGCAGTAGGTGTCGTCTCAAGATCAGAGTAGGGGCGTAAAGGAGAAGTCCCGTTCTTTTCGTCGGGAGTTGACGGCACCTCGCCGTTACGATCCAACCTCCTGCGCTTATGGGGGGACTGAGGGTAGGAATGATCCGAGAAGTTGTTGGCTGCACCGAAGGACCGTTTCAACGAAGGTATAGGCGGGGATGATGGCAAAGGCTCTTCGGTGGCTGCAGGGGCATCATCGTCATCTTGACCTTCTTCTTCGTTGTCCGTATCCTCGAAATCTAGCAAAGTGTTCTCGAAGCCTGCCAGATTATCCTGGTAGCATTGTCGAAGTTCGTCGGGGACTGTTTCCCATTCGATCCAATTGAAACCTAGATTTTCCGCGATTTGCTGCCAATCACGTTCTTCGGGAAGCATTTTCGTGGACTGGACCGCCCGCCAAAGGTCCCAAAGCTCGACAACCCGGCCCCTGATACTTGGCCATGGTGTGACGTGGACGTCTGCGTTTTCCAAGTAGAGCCTATAGTCCCTGTAGAACTGATTCTCATTAGAGTACCAAGTCTGACTGGCGTAAGAGGTTTCAGACTCAGGAATAGCTGGAGACGAATGTGAAGTAGGCGCGTGGCCGTTATCCCGGCCTACATGATCCGTCTCAGGCTCAGGTTCAGGTTCATCACGAGGCTCCAGGTTCTCCTCGGCCGAGCTTTGCGGTGGTTGATGGGGGTCCGGCATCTCAGACTGGGTTTCATTCCTATCTGGATTCGTCGCAGCTCTGGGGTGAGGTGTTGCAGTGACCGGCCGTGGCACGGGCGTCGCATCTTGTTGCGGCCTGTCGACCTCAGCCAGCTTCTCGGGTTTTCTTGTCTGCGACGCCCGCTCCTTGTCTATATTGGGTTTAGGCTGCTTGATCGTCGGCTTGCTGGGGCTCACATAGTCACTCAATAGCAGACCATTTTGAGCCTGGTCTTTCCACTGCTCGACCTGGCTCTTATGTGCTGGGCATACATGCTTCAGCCAACGATCCCTCCAAGACTGCCAGGAGTGATGTGGGAACTATCACGAGATCAGCAGACGGTAGAGAACGGTAGAGAAAGGGGACTGTCAGAGAGAAAGGGCATCGGGCGAGAAAAGGGGGATGTTTGTACTAACATCACCAGCAAGGTCTATGTAGACCTTGTTGCCCGATATCGGCTTGCGTTGCCGGATACACTCCCTCACATGTGCTATCAACACATTGTCCTCCTCTTGGGTATACCCGGCCCTAGTCCGAGCCGAGCCAGGACTCTGGGTGGACGAAGGCCTAGCAGGAGCTGCTGGCAGCTGCCAAGCAGGAGGTGAAGGGGGAAGTGATGTGGGTTGGCCGGGTTGCGTGGGCCGTGCTGGGGACGGCTCCCCATCGGCAGATGCAGGACGTGGAAGAAACTTTAGCCTTTTAACCCAGCGATCTCGCCATGACTGATGGGTATGATGCGGATGCTTTGGTACTTGTTAGAAAGCGATGAATACCACGCTATAACATGATGGAAACACACCTGGGCTTCAAAGTCTTGGTAAATGGCGAGTCCAGCTGTGCTCACACCCTCGCGCTCCTTTTGAATGACATACTGCGTCAATATCTTGTCATCTTCAGGCGTGAATTTGTTTCTGGTCATCTTCGGCCCCTTAGCCGTAGCCGAAGCGCTCCTAGCAGCAGATGAAGCGCCTGGCGGAGCGGCGGGTGATGTGCACAAGTAGTCATCTTTCCTCGCGAGGGAACCTTCCTCGAGGGCATCTTTGATGAGTTGAAATGAGTAAGACCCAGGTGGTGCAAACTTCTTGGTCGGGTTGGAGATGAGGTAGTCGGCATTCTTCTCTAGTGGAACGACCTTGCCTCCATTGGCCTGTCTGAGATCAGCCGACAAGTCCAAGTCCAAGTCCAAGTCCAAGCCCGATGTGAAGGGTTTGTCAGTGGCTTCATACCTCGATATTCTGAATACAGGTAGTGCGATGGGGGACTTTGTATCCAACCCAGAACTTCAAATCCTTGAACAGGGTGCCTCCGCCCCCGTTCTGGGCGACGACGCCCTCGGAGACAATATCACCAGACATTGCTGCTAACCCGACATCAACCCTAGGGTTACAGTACTCCAACAGGCTGGGTTTTGGCGTCCAGGGAGGCTCCAAATGGAGAAAAACAGGAAGGCAGGATGTGCCTTGCTGGATAAGTCGTGCAAATATGCCTTGGATCAGATGAGATGTTTCCTTTCTGCGTGACTGCAGCGGCGGTGTTTGGTGGTGATGTATATAAGGTGCTCAAGAGTCCATCGAGTCTCTCAAAGGTACTAGTAAGTTCGCCGTGCTGCCTATTCGCATGTTCGTGTTGAGAACTTCAATGATCAGGATCTTAGGGACGTGAATGGATTCGTGGTTCCATCGCCACTGAGAGTACGTCGGGGGTAGACGTTCTTATCTGTCGCTGGGGGGAGGTCAGGCAGAGGGAAGTCCCGTGAAAAGCGTTGCATGAAACACAGACGCGGGATGGGGAATCGCGGTTTCTCATGTCTCGGATACCTAATCACGTGGAATGATCAATTGCATTCCTAGGATGCATTTAAAGGGGTGCTAAGAGTAGTGCGAGGCACAACTGTCGGCTGACCTCTGCCACCTGTTTCCGGGCTGTCAGCGAGCCTGCATGACTCCAGCACAGCCTCAAATAAGCAACATTCCAACCACAAGATCACCACTTCAGCCTCACCCGGTCACCTCAGCTGGTGTTTGTGTACGTACTGCTGCTGACTTTGTTTGGCTTCTCTTATCATTTGTAATTGAATTGCTTGCTCGGTATAGGTACACATGAGCTTGTCTTCTTCTTGATTCTTCACTTCATTCCCCGTGGCTGTCTCAGATGGATTCGCACGGGCGCTTGGCTTTGACCACCATCTTGCGAACACGTTCATGATCGCAAACCGCGGACTTTAGCACCACAATTACAGATTCATATACAGGCGGCTGGTCGAGGCACCATCACGATGGCCCTGCTCGCTCAGGTGGCCTTGGGCGCTCTCGCCATCGCATTCATGACTTTCGTGGCTTTCTTTGGAAGGCTCCCAGCTCTTAGGTACGATACAGCAACTTACAAGAAAGCTACATGGGATGCGCATGGTCACACGCACTCAAGATGGCCCGACAACACACGCGGAACACGTGATGGAGACATAAGCTGACCCAGGCAACAGACACACGCCGATAGCCTGGCTACACCGAGCAATATGGATATCCATACCCAACGCCATCCTAGCCCTGGACCAGAGGCTCACCTCGGGCCGGCTGACGTCGTGGACGGACCGCTTCGGGAACTACGTGATGTTCGGGCGGCACCCAACAATCCTCATATTCTTCTTCCTGCTGCTCACGGTGGGAGAGTACATGTACCTGCCAGGCGCCTGGCCTCGCATGAGCGCTCTCCACAGGCTTATGGGCGCCATCGCTATCGTCCTGCCCTACGTATTCCTATACCTCGCCGCGTACAGTGACCCGGGGGTCATCACGCCGGCTACTCATTCGCGATGGATGTCACACTACCCCTACGATTTCACGCTCTTCCACCCGGGCCAGACCTGCCGGACCTGCAACTTACTGAAACCGGCGCGGTCAAAGCATTGCGCTGTGTGCAACCGCTGCGTCGCCAAGATGGACCACCACTGCGTCTTCATCAACAACTGCGTCGGCTACGGCAACCAGCACTGGTTCCTGCTTCTCCTCCTCTCCACCGCGATCCTAACCGCCTACGGCGGCACTCTCGGCCTGCGCCTCGTATCCCAAAACGCGCGCGCGCGCTCCGCCGCCTTTAATCTCTGGAAGCCACACTCCATGCCCTGGCGCACCTACTTCGTGCTCCTCACGATCGGCATCCAGGACGACGTGGGCCTGGGCTCGGTGACGCTGCTGGCGGCCATGACGTCGCCGCTGGTGTGGGGCCTGCTGGGCTACCACGCCTACCTGATCTACTGCGGCACCACCACCAACGAGAGCATGAAGTGGCAGGACTGGCAGGCCGAGATGGACGACGGGTTCGCGTTCAAGCGCCAACTACCCACACCGCGGACCAAGGACCCGCGGGTCGAGGCCGCGTGGACGCGCTGGCCCGTCGAGCCCGTCCAGGTCATGGTGCGCACCGAGGACGGGGAACCGCCCAACAGCGGCAGCGCCTCGGAGCTGGGCGTGGGTGAGTGGGAGCGCGTGTGGCATCTGCGGGACGTGGAGAACCTGTATGATCTCGGTCTTGCGGACAATATGATCGATGTGTTCGTGCCGAATCACTCGTTCAGGGCGGAGACTGTGACGGATCTGGAGCGAGGCAGGCGGTCGAAGAAGCCGAAGGCTCGGCCGGGCGCTGGTCTTGTGGCTGCTGCTACTTGATGTTCGCGTGTCTGCATAGGGTGTGTTCTTATTGTATAGATACCTATCTCGTCTTCCTCCACCAATACCCAATATCAGTATGTTCAATGTTCTGTTACGCATACATGCCTGTCAGGCTATGCTGTGGTGATAAATTACTCTTCTAGCTATATACAGAACGGGGTAATTATGTATGTACAGGTCTCCTTACAAGGTTTATCGAACATGGCCAAGACAGCATATGATACAGTCTCCTTCTTCAAAAGATAGCGCCACCTCCATGTCCCTTATCACCACCCGTCCGCTGCGCAAACTGTGCCTCAAACGGATCCAAAGCCTCCCGCTGCTTAGCCGCCTTCTTGCCCGCCTTCGTCTGGCCACCTTTGCTTCCAATTTTCACTTTGCCCCCAAGCCCAGACGACCCATCAAAGGCGTCATTAAACACATCCGCATCAACCACCTCGCTCATCCCCTTTGCCCTCTTACCGCCACCGCCTCTCGGCGGCGTATCAGCCGGCCACTCGGCATCAAGATCGACCGACTCTCGCCGCCGTTGCTGCTTCTCCTGTTCGCGCGTGAGCCGCCTCTCGTGCACGGCCTGCGTCCGCGCCGCCTGCTCGGGAAACCTCTTGCGTAGCTGTTGCGCCTGCCGCTGGTCGAGCTTCTGTAGGCTGTTGCTGTTGCTCTTTTTGTCTGTTGTGCTCGTGGTGGACCGACGCTCGCGCGCTTGCTGCATTCGGCGCAGTTCGTCCTTGGGCCCGGGCATCGTCGTTAGTCCGGATACGAACTCGCTGAGGATACGTTGGAACTCCTCGTGGCCGGGTTGGCTTTGTCTTCCGCGGGGTAGGAGCTCGTCGGCGCCGCGTCGATCTCCTGCGCGTGGTAATGTGGTTGTCGTGTGGAAGGCTCGAGCGTGGGCTCGAGGGGTGTTGTTCCAGCTGTCGTTGCTGAAGGCTGTGTTGATGCGCGGCCTGGTGGCTCCACGGCCGTTGACCTTTGAAGCCTGTTCAAGCTCGGCGAAGCTAGAGCTCGCTGTGATGGAGTTCTCTGCAACCTTAGAGGCATGACTGCTGGCCGAGGTTTCCATGGATTCGGTATCCTGTGCTGGGGCGGCCGTGACCTTACTGGGAGCATACTCCAAATCGTCAAATGAAATGATCTTACCAGACCACTTCCGATCCCTTTCTGCAACAGCTGGCCGATCATCTTTCACCAGACCAGCTAGACGAGCCACGGCCAACCTTGCCGTAGTCACCGTCGAGCTGACAACAGCATGATCCCTTGCCCCGACAGCAGTCACGAATATATCTCTCTCCCAACCCCATCTTGTCTCGGTAAGCCTGTTCTCGATGTCGCGAATACCATCCCACAGCTTCTCGCACGTCTTGCGCATCCCCTCAAGCCCACTCTTGACTTTGTCGGCTTTGGTGAGCACGATGGCGGTCCGCAAGTCAGCGCGACTGAGAAGCTCGAGCAAATGGAAATCCGAATCCTTGGGCCCGACCTCGGCATCTATCAAGACAATCGCCCCCTGCACACCGTTCCTCTTATTCAGGTACAGCGCGATATTCCGTCCCCATTCTTTCAATGACGCGTGACCGTATCCGGGCATGTCCACCAGATGAAACGTGTGGTTCGGTATATCCTCCTTGCCCTTGAACTCGGCAGCCTGGCCTTTGAGGGCCTTCATGGACGGCGGCGGGCCAAACCCATACGTGTTGATCGAACGCGTGCGTCCCGCCTTGCTACTCACCCAGGCCAGACTATTGCTCTGTCGGTTCGCAAGCGCATTGACGAAAGAGGACTTTCCCACATTCGAGCGTCCGAGGATACAAACTTCGGGTATGCGCGTGTTCTTCTTGAGCTGGTAGAAGTCGGAGCCCGCGTGGGCGAAGACGGCCGGGACCTTGGTGAACAGCTTCGTCAGCTCGTCTTCGACGGGCTTGTTGGGGGCGGAGGACAGAGACGAGGATTTGAAGAGCTCGTCGGGCGAGATCTCGGCGAGTGGTGATGTTCGGAACTCGGGAACCAGGAGAGCGGCCACGTTGGGATACTTCGGTGTCGCATGGTATACGGTAGATGTCGAGAATAGACGGGTCGGAGTCAGGCGTAGCTGCGCAGATGCGCCGAGCATGACTGGCCGTAAAGACGCTGGCATCGCTAGGAGCGCCTGGAGCTGCTTCGAAGCAGCCATTGCGGCGGTCAAGTTGTAGCTTGCTCAGGATAGACGATAAAGCCCTCCCTTCAATGACCAATTGTTGGAGCTCACCAGCTCGAGGTGCAATCTCCCGAGTCGTCGAGTTCGCAAGTGGCGATGGCGAAGGGGATTTTGGAGTGGCTGAAGATGGTTGCTATCTTATCGCCGTGGCTTGGCAGTCTGCATTTCTTAGCAGCGCCTATGTCCAACATTGAAGATCTCCAGCAGTCCAAAGCTCCGACACGATCAACACCAACTCAACCTAGTCTCAACCACAACGTGCGGCATGTCGAATCCATCACAACTCCGGTCACTCTACCGCTCGCTCCTACGCGAACTCCCTCCGCGCCCCCTCGCCCCATCCACGGCCCGGTCTCCCCTACACCAACGGTTGCGCCAGAGCTTCTCGAGCGATGCGCCGAACGGTAACGCAGTCGCCCAAGCAGAGCAGCTGGTGCAATACCTGAAGGCGCAACGGCAGTACTCGATCTTGTTAGAAAGATACAACCCGGGCATGAATATGGACGACGAGGAAAGAACCAGGTTGAGCGCACGGAGGGTCGGCATGAATATGCCCAAGCAATACGTGGAGGGAGGGGAGAAAGCTTGAGAGCCGAGGACGGCATCTACTTTGGAAATGGTTTCGCCAACCGATGAAGTCTCGATGTGTCGAACAATGTCGGACAGACACCGATTGGAGGGATGGGCCTGGCCTTGCATCATCGACATGCGAGTTCTCCCCATAGCCCTTTTCCTGCGACTCGCCCTTGCGGTTTGAGGCGATGCGCGCCCCAAGACTTGCGGACTATAATATGGCGGATGTACAACATTGTATCACCAACAAGGCTCGGACTGGAGATATCGATATGAGATCCGAGTCAGTGTACATATTTACATCAGGACGACAACCCAAAAGGCGACCGGATGAACAGACGAATACACAAGCATGAGCTACTATTGACAGTCATGTTTAGAATGCAAATCATCTATTCATCTATGATCTAATGTGTGCTGTAAGGATTCTCAGCTGTCCAGTGATCCCCCCCAGCGTACTGTGGTATCGGCAGCCAGGGACTGAGGAAAACACGCGGAATCGGATTTTCCGGTGGGCAATCAGGGCACCGTGGGGGCAGCTCTTCATCTGCCGACAACGTACGCGGTAGCGCAAGATGGATATTGAAGCTACCCAAGGGTGCCAGAGGGCTGATACTTACCGGGTGGCGGCACAGCGCATGCATCATGGACTTGCGGCAGCTGGGACAATTGGGCTCGGGGGCCTTGGCGAACCAGGCTTTGATACAAGTCAACCCGAACGCATGGCCGCAGAGCAAGACGACACAGGCCTCTTCGCCTTCGTCTTCGTCTCCCTCGTCTTCGTTCGTCTCACCGTCAACCTCCATTCTGTCGCCTGCAAGTACTGCTGGGTGGAGGATTGCGAGGACTTTCCAACAGATGTGGCATTGAACCCGCATGGAAACACCTTCTACCAGCCTGCCGTCCTTGTCGAAGTACGGAAGCCAGATCGGGGCGTAGTGATCTTGCAGCTCGTTGTTCGGTATAGTAGTCATGTCTTTGCCCCTTTGCGCAGGTCAGGTAAGGAGCTGATGTTTTCGGATATGTTGTGTGTTGCTGAGGTAGGGAGGGTATCTGAGGCTCTCCGTGATTTTGGGGCAAGCGACATTCTACCACTGCCACCGGCCTGCTTTATACTGCTTATCTCCTCCATGTAAGTTGTGCAGCGCACTCATGTGATGTCACACTCATTCCGTCCGACTTTTGACTCCTAGGTGTCATGAGAGTCCTGAAATCTCGATCCTGTCTCTGGACATTTGAGTCGACTGGGACAACTAATAAGCAGTCCCTTGTCGGTATCTCACCTGGTTATCTGGATGCCAGTGTACTGTGCCTGCCTCAATAAGGAATCTTGCTGAATTATTCCGGTGGGACGCTTCCATATGTGGACGACGAAATGATGGTGTTCATTAAGGGAGCTGGTTGGTTATCGTGAGTTGACGTGCTGTCAGACAAGCAAGATCAAGCACGACACTCTCACAGTCTAAGGCAATCATGCACACATATGGTGAAGAGCTGGAGAAACACATAGTTCCAAGATAAGTCTATGAGATTACTGGAGGCTAGCTCTTCTAACTGTCTGCCCCAATTCCCCTCCAAGATATCCCAAGCTTCACCTTCCCGTCATACAGCAGCTACCAGCGCCGCCTCGGCCTTACACAACGCCGCGAAGAAGCACGACAATGTGCAACACCTGCGCGAGCAGAAGCACAGCCGTGATAGCCTCGCCAGATGTTATTCCGCCTCGCCACCAGTGACCGGCACCTGAGTGATGGTCGTGTTGTCGCAGATCGAGCCGGTCGAGTTGGGTGGTCGAAACGCACGTGTCGGCACGCTGGCACATCCGGTAGCTGGCGCGTCGATGTTCGAGACGCTCGTGAGCATAGAAGACGGAGCGTCTAAGGGCGCCGGTGTGCTCGATGTAGTGGTGTTCGGCGTGTTGGATATGGTGGTGGTATTCGCCTGCATGCCTCTGACGAGCTCCCGATGCTCTGTTGTCGCAGGGTCTGTGTTGGGGACGACGGTGCCAGTGTGGTTGAGGCAGGTCATGATGTTTGCGGCGGTGATGTTGACAGCTTGGCCTGCGACGAAGGTCAGTTACTTTGTGATATCTGGGGTATAAGCGAAGGTTGGCGTACTCAGCGGAAGCGACGATGTCTCGAGACCATTGCAACCGGCCAAAAGCTCGCTTTCATCAGCAGTCAGTCCGTATGAGCAACATGGCGAACAGGAGTGCTGCGGCGACTTGTGCGCCGAGAGCTGTCCTCTAAGCAGTGTCAGCACAATCAGCCATTTACATAATATGATTACCGTACTTGTCTTGCAGAATCAGCTGTCCATGGTCATTGACGCTGAGACAGTCGTCGAGGTCCAGCATGCTTTCGATCCCATTGCATGTAGCGAGGAGCCAGCTGGAAGAGGGATACGAGGAAATGGCTTCCTCCTTCGGCACTGCGTCGGGATCCTGTGGAAGCTGGCAGCTGGCGCAGACCTTGCAGTTTTCGTTGGACCATGGTGACTCGGACGATAAGGCGAAAGCACCGAGTAAAGTGAAGATGTAGAACGCTGGATGCATGATATTGTTGACTTATGGGTCCCGATGTTGAGGTTGGAGCACAAGATTCCGCGCGGATGAAGGCGGTCCTTATCCTAGGAGCTTCACCATGTAGGCGGCATATAAGTACTCGCATTACCTCCATGATCTTGGGGCTAACCAGTAGGTCACTGGTTCCTTGTGATTCAGCGAGCGCCAACTCAGTGTGTTGATGGTTGTGGAACCAAGGGGTTCTTTATTCTCTCTTCGTAGCACGATCAGATCCTAACACCCACCTATCAACCTTCAATACTGTGTGAATAACTATATTACCAAGTTCTGCATCTATAGGAGCCATTGAGGGAGCTCTGACACGGAATTTTCAGGTCTGCTTCATCCTGACGCCGATTCTGTCAACACCACTGACTCACGCATCATCCGTTTTGTTGCTCACCTTCAGGTTCTGGCGGTAATGATTCATCCTAGAAAGGCGCAGAAGCTACCATGAGGCACATAGGGCATCGATACGGACCACATCTTTGCCTCGCATTATGCTTCTGAGTGTCAATTGAGCACCAACCCTAACCCTAACCCTGAGCGCTTGTTTGGCCGAGACAGTCTCCAATCCCGGCGTCTTGAGTTTTCAGGACATAGCCTCGCTTCTAGAGATGTCTATTGCAGATGAATTTCAGACTTGTATTCGAGGCGTTTTTTCAGTTGCTGATGCAGAATGGAAGGAAAGCTCTGGCACAACCTCAACCTACACCATCCCTGAATCATCCCCTGAACCTCACCTTGTTGGATACTCAGTGTGAATTGCCAACATCACTCTTGCCAACACACATTCACAAACATCGGGCATTCACAGGTCGATTGGTTGTTTCGCCCTCTTCTTCCTGGGTGGTTGGTCGTTCACCCAGAGAGTCAACCATTCTGATTGTATGATGCAAATAGCAGGGAAACCATGCAAGGTAATAGTCACAGGTACTAAGAAAGACTTAAAGTATCTAACTGAGGTAACTCCCCTTCCCTCCCTACCCAACTCAAGCTTTCGACAACTTGCACTGGGTTCTGGCACCAAAACGCGTCCACACACTGAGGAAGCTTGTGTCTTCTCAAGTCACCCAATCCTCTCGCCGCCGGATTTAAGCTGCACCTCCTTTTTGTGCGCACCCGTATTCGAGCTGCGCACTCTCAACACCACGCCTTCACGAAGAGCCGGATTCGAGCAGCATCCTCGCGGCCGTATTCGAGCTGCAGCAGCTCGTCGTCTCTCGGCACCATTTCTGAGCCCTTGTCCTGACTACAATACACAATTTTCACCATCTCGATCCTTCCACTCCAGTAGTCGGTACTTCGTCCCACCACACATCTCGTCATTTACCCCAGAGAAGCTTGGCTGCAATTAGAAGCGCTTGCTCTGCGCACAAGTCACCCTGCTCCTGCTCAGCCTGACAAGTCCAGTCGCTGACTTGTAATTATGGAGCATGCTCCTCAGTTCCAGTTGACCCTCGTCCCTCAGCACGGAGGTTATGATCCTCGACGTGATGGTGAGGATTATATCAGGCCGTGGTAAGAAGGCCTTGATCATATTTCCACTGCCACAACTAACAAGTCCACCTATCCTGTAGGATCCGCGAAGTGTTCAACATTGATCCACATGATTTTCTCTCAGGGGCGTTGAAGGTAATGGCGTACATCCACACGCCTCCGACGAGAAGCCACCCAGCACGAGCGATTGGGCAATGCGAGTTCTGGATCATTGTGCGCGAGAAGATGGACCACATCCCCTTCGACGCACAGGTCTGCGGGATCTCTCGGGGCGCCAACTGGCTGCAAATGCAACTCTTCCATGTCAACGGGCAGTTCAATGCGACGTTATGGGGCGAGGAGCCGTACAAGGGGACCGGTGTCTGGGACTCCGAGGTTGACGACTGCTACATCATGTTCATCGAGGATCTGTCCGTCGTGCCAGAGTTCCGCAATCAGGGCATAGGCAAGCGGTTCTTGAAGGATCTCAGATACATAATCCACGAACAGACTTCGGGACGGGACTTGTTCGTCATTACCCTCCCTGATGGAGACACGCCCGACGACAGAGGCGAGGCTTGGCGCCTTAGCATACATGAGAGCCTGCATCCAGCTCTGGTAGAGAAGACCATACAGAGCAGCAGGGCAGGTATGATTCGGCTCTACCGGGCTGCGGGCTTTCGGCGCGTGGGTACGTCGAGGTGGTTCGCGTGGATATCGATCCCAGACCATCCAAGCAGGGCCTTAGAGGCGAATCACGACTACGATGGGCCGGTTCTGGACCGACGCTTGACTTTCGACTTGCCGATCAGGGTTCAAGAAGATGCATTGTAGACATAAGGTGATCTGTTTGGGTGGGAGGATGGAGAGAAGTGCCACGGCGCGAGGATGGCGAGAAGCGTGTGTGAATCGACTTCGGGCGTGCTAGGTAGCGAAGAATGATACCTCCTCTATTGCAAGTCCTCAACTCTATCCGGACGGATCACACCGGGTGACACCGTCGTAAATTTAGTTGGTAATTGTCTGAATACCTGCTCAGTGGCGTATCAACGAGTTGCGGAACATGGAAGTTTGGTTCGAGTTTCCTACGGCGGAGAACATCAAGTGGCTGTGGGTAACGAGCCCCGACGGAGAGCGACGACTGAACGCTACGGCGGAAGGTAACTGGGGGCCCGAGAGTCCCCAGGCGATTGACATGCCGTTCGCTGAAGTGGATGGCCAGGGGATAGTCCGGAAACGCAGAGAGGCCACATGTGACGACTTCTGGCAGCGCAACTTTCCCCGACCGAGAACGGGCTGTCCTGCTCCAGACGCGCTTTGATACCAACACTCTCAAGCTGTTTACCAGAGTATGCCGTGCGGCTTGTGGGGGGATCAACACTACCCAGAGAGCGAGCCGAATCGCATGAACCCAGAGGCAATGGCCTGCGAAGCAACCTCTACCGCCAGATTCTATCAAACCAACCATGCTGGTGTCGTTGTTCAGGATTATACGCATGGACAACCTTGGAGGCCTGGCATGAAACAACCGTCCGGGCGCTTGCAAGATCCGCTGCTTGAAAAAAGTTGGGGCACCTCTCGTGGTGTGATCTAGGATAACTCGCACATCAAGACAGAGGCGTGGACACTGACAACGCCACCGATTTCAACGAGGTAACAAGGTCACGATTCAGAACGTCGGTGTGTCACTTGTATGGGCAGGGGCATCAGCGGCAAATCGGTTTGTCTATTCCTCAACATGTCTACCTAGTACTCAGCGATCTACCCAAATTAATCTCCCAAACTGCAACCAGAAGACCTGCTCCGTGATAAGTACTCCATCATGATCGTCGCTCATATGCCCGCTGCCTTGACAACCGTATGTTCCCCCCCTATCGTCTCTATTCAGTCGCAAAGTCATCGCACGAGTTCATCCCGCCGTTGCCCAAGCCGATGAGAGGGTTGCACATGCACCTAATACGCTCGCCCGCCACCGTATTATCGAGGTCAAGGCAAGCCGGCGTGTCGCTTTTGGTCTTGCCGAGGAACTTGCCCTCGCAATACCCGCCGTTCTCGCTCTTGCCGCTGAAGAAATACCAACTCGTTCCGGCCTGGTAGACCGAGTGGGTCGTATCGTCCATCGTGATCTCGTGCAGATCGAACGTGTGGTGTCCGTAGTTGAGATCACCGGAGCTGGCCGCGGGGGTTGTTGTCAGTTTTTGCCTCTGCTTGTGGGTTCAGCCCTTGTGGCACACTTACCAGTCGTGGGTCGTATACTCGTTGGCCTTAGGAAAGTCAGCGGCCACCAAGCTGGCGCTGGTTCCAAGGGCGAGACCGATGAAGGTAGAGAACTGCATATTGACAGATGGGTTGTGGTATTGCTGGCTGTGCGGAGAGCGGGAGAAAAAAGTCTAAAGGCTTCGTAGCGAGCGGTCTGAGGTTGATGGGAGTGATGGTGTAACTTGAGTGCTGATGAGTGAACCTCTGAATCGGCAAACAGTTGGCTTTATATACAAGACTTGTCCTCAGGTAATTTGCGATGTAAAAGCTCTTCAGGTAGCGCACTCTGTAGAACACGATTTTGATGGGAACAAGATATCGACCAAGGTAACGTTACTGTGTAGACCCTCGCTACTCAAATCAGGTAGCTCAATGAGAGCCGCGGCTTAGTCGCAATACAACGTGTAGGCCGTCGAATGAGCAATGGACACCGATTTCCGCACCAGTCAGTGCTGTCGGCTGAAATATTAGATTGATGGGCTGGCGTAGGGCTGGCTGTGCTCAGCTGAGACACCGCGCCCTTGACTCAGCTGACGGACTTTGCAACGTACGACTATAGCGGAAACTAAGCGCAAAATGGTTATTCGCCGTTGCGGCTGAAAACGTGTAAGCCTGCATCTCTTCATGTTGAGGCCTCGTGTATGCTTCTCCGGCCCACAACCTGGGACGACGAGGCCTTACGCAGCCACAAACGCCTTATATCTCATTTAACACCATCGTACGACATCAGTTTAAGCGCTTCGTAAGACAACACTCCGCCCCAGGTGTCTGTCACATACTAACTTGACGCCGACGATGGTCTAGGCCAAGCCGTGGAAACGTCGAAGCTGGCTGTCGGGCTTTGAAGTCGCAAGAAGATGGGTCTACGTACTGATTGTCTTGGTAGAAGCGCTTGGCCTATTAGACACTACGCACGCTTGTCACCAACGGGGCACATGAAGGGGAAGAAGGTAGTGTCTTCTCGCATATGGCTCAAAGGATCACACTCGATTATTGCTCTAAAGGTTCTCTATCACCGCGGGTAACTTAAAGGACCGCGGTGTTGAATCCTCGCACCCTTAGACAGTTCACCATCATCCTGTGATCCGTGTTACGTGAACTGAAAACATCCACCACTCGGCCATCTTGCCAATCAATATCATCAGTGTGATAGTTCTACTGATTATCCTCACGTTCCAGTAAGGTATGTTAATGTAACACATACAGGTCACAGTTCGAAGGCAGAACAGCAGGGATAGTAGAAATCGAACTGTGGCCGGGAGTGGTTGCACCATATTGGTGCTGATAGTGTGCAATGTGGTGTTCAGACGTCTTATGATGCCAATCGAGGATGCGGATTGTAAAGGGGCCCGGAAATGTAGGACGATTGCATCTTCGCTACCAGGCTGGGGCCTTTCAAGCTGATCCATGTAAGTCTCTTGCTCTTCGTCGTCAAGCTCTTTAATTTTGCGGAGTATGTCATCGCGGCTTGCAGCTCCCGGTCGTCCTTCGGTGGCTACAATGATACATGCCAGTCGCATAGCAGTCTTGTGCAGTTGCCTCAATACCTTGTCCTCCTCCGTAGGTTCTTGCGCAGCGGAGTGCCGCTCATGGTGTTGCATGAGCCTGTTCGTGTTGTGCTCTGCCGGTTTTATATCCTCCGTGATAAGGTTTGCTTAGTGTAAGCAAACCCGCCCCGTCCTGCAGGAAAGTGTCGACCGCCATGTAGACGGCCGCGTTTCGCACGTACTCCGGCTCCGCGGGACGGAGATCGACTCATGATTGACATTTCAACCTGAGGGAGAGCAGACGGCGACTGTTCATCGACGCGGCGGCGACGATAGCCGTCGCTCCGCATCGGGTGCACCAAGGCAGGACGACTTGTTGACGAGTTGTGTGTCGGCCCGTCGAAGCCGGGGCCCTAAATTCGGGGCCCTAAAGGAAGCTGGCTTGAGTGTAATGTTGATTTGCAAGCGAGCAAAATATTTTCGAGGAACGATATATATGTCACTCGTAAGGCTACGAACAGTAAGAACCATGCTACTCGGCTACCACCACGTTCAACATCATCGTATCCTATACACCGTGGGGGTAAGGATGCTGCCAACCACACTGAGATATAAAAAGCAATGGCGTTTAGCCAAGCTGGAAATAGCTTAATATGGTCTGTGGAGGTTGAGAAAGCAGCACATGTGTTCCGATGTGTTCGATAGGGCTGATGGTTCCTTGTAACTAAATAGGTTATGACACAGATCCACGGAGTCATAATGACCATCACGCTATCGGGGTCAATAGCAAATATTAACTTTCGAAGACAATCCATGTCATGTCAAACTCCCTATTCTCAGGCCCGCAGCCCCTTCCCGACACAGCGTACACAATGCTCTTAGTGTGGCCATGTGGAATTACCGGGAACAAACTTGAATCCACATTGAGCTGCCTAGCTACCTAAAAAGATTGGATGGAGTGGTACTGACTAACTAATCTCAACTTTACTCTATGAGGCTGTCACACTGCTATCAACGAGTCTCGACCGTACCCAACTCCCCAAGACCACCCAACGCTTCGCACGCCTCATCCCATGCCTTGTTCCCATCATAAAGTTGACTCATCAAGTAAGCCCACGTCATCCTCTGCACCGCGGCCAGTCGCTCTGGGCTCTCCTCGTCCGCCGACTCTTTAGCATCCCAGCCACTGATGCCCCCAAGACAATGCTTCCCACTCTTCAGCATAAACAGGGCTTTGGGACCTGGCGCAAGTCTGTACGAATCTGCATGCCAATCCATGCCACGCACCGTCAAATGCGGGCCCACATCTTCGTCTCCGCAGACGACAAGCGCGGGAGTGGTCATGGTGCTGAAGTCGGGGCCGTAGAAGGGGACCAACTGCGAGCGTCCGAACTCTGAAAGATCGGACCCGCCGTTGCCCGGGCCCGCAAGAATTACGCCGGCTTTGATGCGTTTCTCGTGCGTCTGTACACTTGACCCGTCGCGCGGGTCGGTGTTCTTCATACCCAACAGCATACTGGCCGTCAGCGCACCCAACGAGTGTCCCGCCACAGCGATTCGACTTCGGTCGAGCCGTCCCTTGAGGGCCGGAACGGCAGCTTCGATGGTATCCAGCTCATCGAGGATTCGAACCATGTCCTGAGCGCGCGACTGCCAGAGTAGTTCCTGGCCGGTGGGGCTCTGGAGACTGAGGGACTTGGAGCTGAGATGGGTGGGCTGGATGACTGCGAAGCCGTGTCCGGCCCAGAAGCTGGACAAGGGGGCATAGCCTTCGAGGGACGAGAGGTAGTTGCTTCTACCGTGACCGTGCGAGAGGAGGATAATGGGCAGTGCGTCTCCGGTCGAGGGGACAGACACCCGCAACTCCAGGTCGACTTTGCGGTCTGCGAAGGGGAGGACGACTGGGCTGAAGGACATGACTGGACGAGGGGCGCTGATGGGGATTTTGGCGGCAGCGCCTATAAGTGCATGTTCGCGGAGATGCATCGTGTCCGTGTTTGCCACACGCGGGATTGAAGCTAAGTGATAGTCGAGGGAATAGTAGCTGTGTCGATGGCGGTTGTGCTGTTTACGGAGAGAATACCATAGCTTTATAACATTTTCTTGTCTCGGGGAGGACGGGCAGGCAACATATTGGAATCAGCCATCGTATGGAAGTCTGGACCTTCACATTCTGAGGCCCCTCCTGGGATATTACCAGTGCCATGGAATTAGGAAAAGCAGTCGGACTTCTGGAAGGTGAGCTGAAGAAAGCGACTAGAGAGAAGTTTATGAAAGACAACCGTGCATTGGCAGGAGTAGGCGACCCACAGCGGGATTAAGAATTGTCGCCGGATTTTGGAAAATTCAGAACGGAAATAAGCCCAGTCTTGAACACTGCCAGGCCCGCTCTCAGAATTTGGTAAACTCGTATCTCCTGTCGTGTTAGTGAATAGCTTGATCATTGATGGCTTGTAGTCCGATGTTCTAGTTGTCTTGATAGTTGGGCTTGAGGGCTCGGATGGGGCTCAGGTCAAGTTATTCCGCAGTCACATTGTTCCGCGCTTGTTTCATTGATACTGTCGAGCCACACCAAGTCACATACAGTCCATGTGCTAGATAGGAGAAAACCCTCATACCGCATATATACTAAGATAGCGCATGTTTTCCCGGCGCCCGATTTTTTTTAGTAGGGAAAGATACCAGATAGCGTATAAATTAGATATTGCATATATTGAATTAGAAAAATTTGCTATTAAAGGTAAGATTTGTTAGTAAAATTAAAGTTTTCTTTATTAAATAACGTTAACGTAGGTCACAAGCGAGCGGGACACACAAGCGAGCGGGACACTTTTACCAACCTCCCAACTGCTATGTCAAATAACTTAATCACAACGCATTCAATTCAATTCAATCAATGGGATTTCTCTTCTTCAGAGGTTTCTATCTCTATTGTACAAGTTCGCGCATTATGGCTAGTGTTGCCGCAAACGCCACACTGTCACTCACGCGCTGCCGCCCTCCTTAAACGATGACTACCTTCACCAATTTCCTGTCTTACCTGCTCACCACTATCTTTTGTAGCCTGAAGACCTATTGCATTTTTAACAGAAAATATTCCTCCTTTTATTAAATATTTGTTTTTTGTTTTCTAGCATTTATTTAATAAGTATCGGATCATCAGAGTCAGAACATGGGGGTGATGATCGGTCTAGTGCGTTGCGTTTTATCTATGGGTCTGGGGGACCAATCTAGTACTAAATACACACCAAAATACAAATTTGTACCCATCCATTGATCCTCCAGCCAAAGATCCCTTGTCTATCACCAATGAAAGCCACCTTTCCTGGTGCTTCCATCCCTTTATTCTGCCAAGGTGCCTGCCTGACCCCTTGTCAGCTGGCAGCCTGCCTGACTGCCACCATACTGCTACCACAATCCTCACAATAAGTGATTAGCCTCCTCTAGCTCGTGGACCCGGAATCAACCAAGGCGACCTTGTGCATAAGACCATATGTAGCCTTTGAAAACAAGCTCAACGCATCAATTATTGATGTAGGTGAGCTTCCTTAGTGGTTTCTGACTCGATTTCGAATACAAACTGATTGGTTTACTGCTTCGTTAATGGTGGTGGGCGTCTTGGAAGTCCAAGTAATGGGTGGCAGATTGGGGTCTGGTGACGGTGTTCGTACGACAGCAACAGCATCCAGCTTTGAAATGACACTTTCTGGATCAAAAGGAACAAGCCCAGTGGTACTGAAACCTGCTCAGATGTTTCTTGGCGTCATAGCAGGCTTGTGTGCTTTACAAAACGCTGTGAGGAAGTCTTCCTTTGAAACATGGGTTATATGACGCCGGATAAGATCCTCAATCATGCGACCATAAGCTCGTTTGAACGGGTTAAAATAACTGATATCTAAAGGCTGGAGCCTATGCAACAAGTGGGCAGGCATGCAAAGAGTAATGATATCATTATTCTGACAATAATTCTCAAAGACCTGAGAATGGTGGCTTTTATGACTATCTAAGACGAGAAGGCGTGTACCAGCAGTCATACGCAGTCTGGTATACTTGTCGAAATGCTGAATCTATTTCAAACCGATCTCATTTGTAGTCTATCTGTTGTCAGACACGGCCACCTTCTGTTTGTTTGTTTGTTTGTTTGTTTTGTTTTGTATTTAACGTGGGGGTAGCTCCTCAGTAGTGCAAACCACGCCTCCCAGAGCCTCTGCATCGCAGGGTTGTGGAGGTCTCAAGATAATAAGTACAGTCAGTCCCGCTCACGGGCCCATCCCCGTTGTTGCGGCGGTATGACCTTGGGGTCATCCATCTGGTCCTTCAAGGAAGGCTATCTATCGGGGGCAGATTGTTGAAAAGAACTTGCTCTTCTCCACGAATTTTGCCCATTCTGTGCTCCTCTCCCCTAAGTATTGTAAACAAGCTGCCCTAGGCGAATGCCTAGGCAGTAGCCGATTTTTCCCCAGCCTCTTACAAAAGAAAATGTGTTGTGGTGTTTTCTTCTCACCACAGCTGCAGTGATCATTTGAATCTGTGTGCCCAAAGCGTTCATGGTATCTGGCAAAGTCGCCATGTCCAGATCTGGCCGCTAGAAGTCTGTGTAAAGTACTCCTCTTAAAAGATATAAGGTCTCTTTCAGTTACTGCATGTGAGTATACTTCTTGATACCTAGATTCTGATTGGTCTTTCCACCATTGGTTGAACTCTTTCTTGCCCTGTCTTTTGAGATCTCTCTTGACCCAAGAGATTGTAGGAAGATTTGTTGTGTCTGTTTCCAGCATGGCACCCTCTTTTGCTAGTGTGTCGGCAGCTTCGTTGCCATCAATATCTCTGTGTCCAGGAATCCATTTGACGGTCACTCCAGGAGTGTGTGCTGTGGCAAGTTCTTGAAATCGTAGAAAAATGTTTTGTGATGTCTCGGGTGGAGTCCCATTGAGCCCATCTACCACTGACGTGTTGTCCAGGCAGACATATAGCTGTTTTCCGTGTCCAATTGCCCTGGCTGCTGCAAGACCTTGGAGAGCACCATGGACTTCAGCATCTACTACTTCTGCTTGTAGAAGTCTGCCCCTTCCCCGGTATACTTCTTGTGTAGTGCCGCCTTTCCTGATGGTATAACCCCATCCAGTGCGGATTGTGCCTTGGTCATCCAACTGTGATCCATCTGAGTAGATGACAAGGTCAGTGTTCACGTTTCTCTCTTGTAACCATTGCTTGAAGAGCTCTGTTTCTTTGTCTTTGTCTTTGCGGATTGGGCGCTTCCTCCATGATGGCCTGGTAAGTATTGGTCTCTGGAAGTCAGGGACTAGCTGGAAGCTTCTTTGTAGCCTTGTTGGATCCTTGCGAGCTTGTATTTGGAGCCTGCCAACCAGAGGGTGTCTCTGATCTATTCGTCCTAGTCGGAGGCCGTGACGTCGTCTTATTGACTCTGCAAGAACTCCTGCTGGGGGAATCTGCGATTCAAAGTGTAAGATATGTCCAGGGTGTGTTTTCCAGACTGGCAAGATAGCCCTGATCGCCGTTCGTAGTACGGCATCTATTGTTCCAAGAAGCCCCTTAATGCGACATGCTGATGTCTCACCTAAGCTCCCAGTTTTCTCGATTCCTGGGTACCAGGCCTCCAGGCCATGTGTGAGAATAGGAATAACACAAGCTTTCACAGCCCTCTTGGTTGACTTTACTGGAAGTCCTTTGACTGTGTTGCATAGTCCTCGAAGGTGATTTGCTACCCTACTAGCTTTCTTGGCCCAGTGAGAAACATGGTCTTTGAAGTTTAGTTTCCTATCCAGAAGGACACCTAGCCATCGCATGGAATGCTTAGCTGTTTTGTTCATTGTTCCGTGGCAAACTGGGGGATTGTCTGAGTTCTTTTTCCGTGAGAAGTGCATGATCTCGGTTTTGTCGGGATCAAATTCAATAGCATTGTTATGTCCCCATTGGTTGAGCAAATGAAGGTTTTCAGAAGCCTCTGCAGCTGTTTCTTTAAGGTTCTTTCCAATGCAGAGTGTTGCTAGATCATCTGCATATCCAAAGCGTCTTCTTTTCATGCCAAGTCGGGCACAGATTGGCTCTGTATACAGCATGTAGAGGATTGGAGAGACTGGTGAGCCTTGTGGGAGCCCACAAGTGAGAGCTTTTATATCGGTCACAGTACCTTCAAACCGAACTCTTGCGGACCGCTCGGACATGAACGACTGGACCCATCTTATGAGAAAGCCTGGCCAGCCCTGTTCTCTCATGCGAACCACCAGCCGTCCCATTAGGGCAGCATCAAAGGCCCCTTTCACATCTGATGTGACTACCGTTGCAACGAGGCCTTGGTCAAGGGCCTGCTCAATATCGTGTATGAGTGCAGCTACCAGGTCAGTGGCAGAGCGCTTTGGTAGAGCTCCAAAATGTTGTGGGGCTAGAATTCCAAGTTTGACAACAAACCAGGTAATTCTTTTCGCAATGAGTCGTTCTAGGCCCTTGCCAAGACATGACAGTAGCGATATTGGTCTGTAGGCCCTGGGATTGGAGTAGTCTTTCTTTCCTGGTTTTGGGATCATCACCACCTCAGCTACTTTGAATGGTTTAGGGTGGTGTCCAATCAGTAGGCAGGTCTGGAAAAGGGCTCTGATATGTTCACCAATGACTGGCCAGCAAGCTTTCAGAATCCGTACTGTGAGGGTATCTACTCCCGGGGAGTTGCTCTTGGTTCCTAAAGTGCACCCTTCAGCCTCTTCCAGTCCGACGTGGTATTCAAGGGGGATGTGTGGCTTGGGTTGTATGATCTGAGCGGACCAGGGGTCGATGATATCGTTGTCTGAGGTACTTCGTTCAAGCGTGGCTGAGCGTAATGCATTTGCCTTGCTCTCTTGTGACTCGAATATTTGGTCTCCTATGATGATTGGAGGGGAACGCATTCCTGCTGATAACTTGTGCCAAGAGACGATTCTGTATAGGTCCTTTGGCTCAGTTGCTGAATTGATTAGAGTCTGCCAGTACTCTCTCCTAGCTTTCCGAACCACGCCGCGAAATTCCCGTCGGGCTGAATTCCGTCCTTCTTGGCTTGTAGTCTGTTTGGAAAGGGCCCTGTATGTCTGAACAGCTGCTTTGCAGTCATCATTCCACCAAGCAGTGGGCCTAGATTGACGGGGCCTCTTGCCCACTGTCCTGATACAGCCTTGGATCATGTTGATCAGGCTTTGTGTAAAGGTGTCCACCTGGCCAGGGGATACACCCAGCCGGGGGAGTTCATGAATCCTGGTTTGGACATTATCTGCCAGCTCCTGTAGTTTATCGTCCGGTACTATCCAATGATTGGCCTTGGGTACTCGGTCCAGATCTCCCTGGATTGGAATGACTATTCGTAATGTCTCATGATCTGAGGTGCACTGAAGTGCATCATTGACTGAGGCTTCAGCCATGGGGACATCAGAGAACACCAGATCTAGTACATTTCCGTCATCATGTGTCGGGACATCTGGTTCAGAAATCAGATCCAGTCCGTGGTCTGCCATAGTTTGTGCAAGTATAGTACCACCATGATATCCTGGATTGCTTGAGTCCCAGGATGTGTCGCCAGCATTGAAATCTCCAGCTATAACGCAGCCAAAAGGTGGAGTCCATACTTCCAGAATGTCATCCACTTCCTGTGGGTTGTCACATGGCCGGTAGACACTGGCAAATGTAATGCCTTGTACCTTGACCCAGGTGATGTCTCGTGTAGCATAGGGCCGAAGTTGATCCGCTTGAAGGTATTTTCTCACATAGATGAGAGATCTGGGCCGTGTACTGTCGCTGTCCCAGGAATCCACTGGGGAGTATATATCGTAATTGGGGTGTGTCTTTACTCCCATTCTCCTGCCTGGTGGTATGCCAACCCAGGGCTCTTGCATCAGAATGATGTCTGCTTGTTCTCCTTTATAGTCAGCCAGGTTGATGGCTAACTCTGTAGGGCCTGCACTCTTTTGTCCCCCTGCTGTATTCACAGAATGGATGACTAGATGCCCGTGTCGATGTGTTTCGTTTGATGTACCTAACATTGACTGACAACAATGGTATCGGCATCTCTGGGATGAGTTGTATCTGTTGTGTCGATTTGCATTGTGGTGTCTTTGTTATTATTGCTAGGTGTTGACCCAGCTTGGTTTCTGCCTGCTTCGTTGAAGGCCTTGGATCTGGCTCTTTCTCCGGCTAGCCTTATTTCCTGGATTTGCTCCCATGTGTGCTTATGGATGGTACCTTTCACAACCTTGGGGCGGGCAGGGCATTTGTCGAAGTTGGCAGCATGAGGTCCTTTGCAGTTGACACACTTTGGGATTGGTTTTTCGCACTCTCCCTGGTGTACTGTGTTGGCGCAGTGTGCACATACTTGCTTTTCGCATCGGTAATTCCTACCATGGTATCTGAAGCAGCTTGCACACTGGTGAACCTTGGGGGTGTGTTGAATATGCCTTGAGGTCATTGAGTGGGCAAAAAGCGTGAATGGTTTCCTTGCTGCACTGGGCAGAGAGATTATCCATGTAGTTTCTGGATCAGAATCAATCGTGTTCTTTGAGAGTATGCACCTCAGAGGTCTGTCGCCTGTTTGGGCTTCAACTTCATCGGCAATAACAGTGTCAGTAATATCGATTGTGAACCCTTCTGCACTGATGACCTTTCTTGGGCATCCATTGACCTTGTAATGATGCCAGACTGTGTGGGTCTCAATCTTTTGTGCCTTGAGAATGTCGGCAATTTCTTCTTGGAAAGCCAGAAGCTTAGCCTGAGTTGGCTTGTCCCTTGGGTGTAAGGTAAAACCAGAAGGACATCGTGTCACTTCTCTAAGCTCCTGAGGGTGGAGCTTAAGTCTTCTGTTCAGTGTAGACTTGATTCCATAAGGCTCTAGGTGGCTATTATCCATGCGGACAAAGACCCGGAGATCATCCTGCTTCTTCTTCAGTTGGTTGGCAGTGATAAGGGCGCCAGGCTGTGTTTTCTTTATGGTAGTGTTGACTGTCCATGGATGCTGTCGTTGGCCAGAGGAGACAGCTTGGGCGAAGGTCATGGTGGGCTTCCCTATCCCTATCCCGCCAGGAGTGGTCTTTCTTTTGGGCAGATCTCGGGTTTCCAGCCACTCGTTCAGGCATTTGGAGAAGAAAGCGCTGAACTCCTTGGCATGAGAGTATAGTTCGGTTCCAGCTTTTTCCAGTGTCTTATCGACTGCTGCAGCACACTCTTGAAACATTGTCATCCTGGCTTCATAGAGATGCTTGTCTTTAGCCAGTATTTTGGCTACTTGGTCCTGGCACTTTGAGGAAGAGACCTTGTTCCCTGTATCGCCTCCAATGGCTTGGTCTGTAGAGATTTCGTTTGATTGAGGTACTTCCATATCAATGATGCTGCTAGTATTAATATTTCGGGATTTTCCTTTCAGAGGGGAAACAATGGTGAAGTCAGCCTCAGAGACTTGTGACGGGCTGCTGTTGATGTCGTCGAGCAGTGCCTGGCGGAGCTTGCTTGGGGTTGCCGGGCCATATGTTCTTTTAGGGACCGGGGATTTGAGCACGCCGCCAGTAGTCGTCTTTGGGACGGCCACTGGCGTATTTGGGGGCCTATCGTGAAGGGGTGCCATCCAGCTTGTGAGAAAAATTTTCTGCGCCTTGGCAAGGATAGTCAGGTACTGAAATAAATGCCTGTTTTAGTGCAGATATAGAGGTTGCGCCCTAACAGCGGGGCGCCAAGAAAAATAGTTGTTTTTGGTAAGAGTGTGTGCGGCCACCTTCTAATCGCGTGGTAATGTCATGTCGCGATACCCTGATGTGAGGTAGGTTTTGCCCTGTAGAATGATGAACAGCGGGACCACCCAACCATCAGCATTGATAGCAGAGATTGCTGTAGACCATTCTCTGTTGCTTTGCTGAGCTTGTCTAGGCCTGTCACGTCTTTCAGTGCTTGTGACGACCATGCCGGACCCACCAATACCCATCATAAACCCAGTCTCATTAAAGTTGTAAATGTCCGTGTCTTGAATACCATGTTTTGTAATTGCTGCTGTAAATTGGTGAAATCATGCGCGATACATGTCTGGATCTTTGTTTAAGACCCTTGAGTAGTCCATCTTACAATAAAAACACGTCTGGAGACCTGGTGTATGTTTAATGAAGTTTGCCGTCCAGTTCTTTCTGACACATCCAGCCCCACATGCTGCCAATAATTGATTTGTTATATCTTCAACATAAGTGTACCAGGGCAGAAATGCTCGCCCATCCAGGTCGAGTATGAAGGAGCAAATGACATTCTCTTCGGAAACTGTAAGTTTCAAAGAATTGGGCATGCTATCGCGTCATGATGGTCGGCCAGTGATTCTTTGAGCTAGTATAGAGATTAATAGGTAGAAATTTTTAGCAAGCTTTCGAACAGAAATATGAGGATCTTATTTTTTAGCTTGGACAGCTAGCTGCATGTCTGATTCATTATAATGCGGTGCCATTGTCGTGGGTGGAGGAATACTGATTGGAAGTTAAAAGTTTGAGAGGTTCATGAAAGTGTCCCACTCGCTTGTGTGTCCCGCTCGCTTGTGACCTACGTTATAATTTTAAACCTTTTATTACTTTTATTATTACTGTGAAGTTCAGGGGTTCGGATGGCGTCAGGATGGGATGGATCTGGTTCGGTGTCTTGGTTATGGATCCATGGGGGATATCCCCACCTAAATACAGCTATTGGAGCCCTTTGATGGCCGTCTGCTTGACACCAGACAACAGACCTACCAGACAACAGACCTGCCAGACAACGCCCGAATGCTCCCCCTTTCACCCCCCATATAGCCTGCTGCCAGCTACAGCACACCTGATAGGCACCAATATTCTCACACACCCTCATGACTATCGGGTGTCAACAGCTGCCACGCCGCTCACCTTCATGGTGGTGAAGTGGCCTGCCTCTCCAGCCTCTAAAACAGCCAATCCACACAACAACGCCAGGAGACCAACAGAGCTCTGAAACGTTCAAAAACGCGATAAAAATCTGATCCGAACACGATACCATCGCTCAGCTAGGCAGGCGGTGTGTGCACACGCGTGCCAGAATCCAGCCCTGCCAGCAGAGCCTCCAACCAACGCGTCACCACCTCTAGCAGCCAGGTCATTGAATCGCTCGTTTTCTTCCTTTTCCTTTGTTTTTGGCGACCTCTCAGTCGATTGAGGACCTTTCACTTCCCTTTTCAAGCCATTTTGCTGACTCTGGTCATAGATACGGTACTGGACCTCGCTCACTGCCTGCTGCGCCCAGCTACAGTACTCCACGAGTCATCCTTTTGCAGCATCATGATTGAATCCAGACCTGCTATCGCCGCGTAGCTAGCAGTCGTCTCCTTTCAGATCACACACCCTCATCACACCTTCTTCGCCATCTCGCTGGCGCCTTCAGAAGCAGCGGTTCGGGCCAGGGACGTCGGTAAGGTCTTCCAGTCCCACAGGAGGTTCAACCGTAGCAGCGTGGCTTTTGGTTCCTCGCTTGGTGTACTGCGTGCCCTTATCATCGCTTGTTCCAGCAGGGCATTCGTTCTTGTAGTGGCCGTGGTTGCCACACTTCCAACACTTGATCTTTGACTTGTCCTTCGGCTCCTTGCGATCCGCGTTGTGGGACGAGTCCTTCTCCTTGCTCGCTGCCTTGCCGTCGCCCTTCTTGTCGATACGGTCCCGAAATTCACTCACGAAGTCGTTTTGGAGAGCCTGGAGCGACATGCCCGTGCCGGAGGTGTATCGAACGAAGGAGCGCTGCTGCTTCTCCCATGCCTTGGTCTTTTCTCGTGTGCCGGCAAGGAACAAGGCTCTCTGTTGCAACTGCATCACTGTGTTGCCCACGTCACAGTTGCGAGCTACCAAGTTGTTGAAGTTGGTCACGTATCGAATAGGGCATCCTCCGGTATAGCTGCACTCTTGAAGATCATCCCACCGCAACAACTTCTGCTCCTCTCCGCGTGCTTCATACTTCGTTTTGAAGCGCGCAACCATTTCGTCGCCCTTGTGCAGTCCTTGTACAAACCGCGCTGGTTCTTCTTCAATGGTAGACTGGATCATATTTCCGATTTTGACCAAGTCAAGCCTCGTCAGGGCCTTCATGTCACCAGTCCAGCCGATTCTTTAAGGCAGAGCTCAGAACCGAACACCACAATCTCCAGTTGCTTGGTCCCTTCAAATGACGCTTTTCTGGCAGATTCCACTTGTATCCATGCCACTGGAGGGTTATAGCCGAAGCAAGAGCTTCCTCCTTGACTTCCTTCTTGGTGAACGGGTTGCTATTGCTGCCATTCAGCCTTGCTGGCTTCCTTGCCCTTGTACGCGTCGTCCTGGCGAGCCATCTGCTGCCTCAACATCTCGATCTCCATCTTCAAGAGCTCAACCTCACGCTGCGCGGCAGCGTCATCAACAAGCGTGCCTTCGCGCTAGGAGTCATTCGGAGCCATCACAGAAGATCAGGAGGGTCGTCAGAGGGTTGTCAGAGGCTCAGAACGCTGTCAGAAGGCTCTGATCACTGCAGAAGGCTCTCATAGGGTCATCTGAACGTTCAGATCACTGCGAAAGGTCGCCAGGGCTCGCCAAAACGCTCCAATCCACCCCCAAAGCATTGAACAACCCCTATCCGATCGCTATCGGAGATGCTACCATGTGAAGTTCAGGGGTTCAGATGGGGTCAGGATGGGATAGATCTGGTTCGGTGTCTTGGTTATGGATCCATGGGGGATATTCCCACCTAAATACAGCTGTGGAAGCCCTTTGATAGCCGTCTGCTTGACACCAGACAACAGACCTGCCAGACAACGCCCGAATGTTCCCCCTTTCACCCCTTTGGGGTCCCTATCTTTGAATACACGGATGTTGATTGATTCTATTGATTGTTCTGCTCTGCGTGCAGAGATTGATCATCTGTCTTCTTGGTGGGTCAGATGCCCTGTGCGTCTCTGCCCCACTGGAGATCTTCCGGTGTCTATCTCCGGCTCCCATTCAACACATTCTTGCTAGTATCTAACATATATTCACCCCTTTCACCCCCCACACAGCCTGCTTCTAGCTGCAGCACACACCTGATAGGCACCAATAATCTCACACTTAATATAAAATAATAAGATAATAAAATCTGTTTTTAAATATAAAAAATAAAATAAAATAGCATGTTGTAAGCGTTAAATAAAAAAGCAGGTTAAATGAATAAAAAAAGATTAAAAAACTCTTTAATCATAAAGCCGTTAATAAGTTTAAGTTTAAATATAATGAAATATAAATAAGTAACGGCCCATTTGAATAAAGTTTTTCTAAGAATACTTATAAAATTAAGGCATGTAAATATGACCAGCCGTCTAACGTATAAGGCAAAAGGGTTCTATAGAGTTTATGTTCTGAGGTAAGTCAACACAAAGGACAATAGAGGCTTCTGTCAACTAGAAGACACTCAGATGCTGGGGCTTGGTCTGAACTGGGTTCACTGTGTAGTCGAGTCGTCAGGAGATTTCTTCCACCTTAGGGTTTGGCTAAGATGCTTAGATTGATCACTGAGGTAGAGACTGTCTATCTATCTGGTTGGGAAATGTCTGTCCTTATAGATCCAATCTCTCCCTCACTGATTAGGTGGCTCACCCTGGATCACCGGTGATCCAAGGTGATCCTGCTCACTGGATCACCACGGTGATCCAGTGATTCAAATTCTTAGTCACGTGACCCAGGTTCTGCTGGTCACGTGATCTGCGTACCGTTGCTCCGTTGCTCCGATCTCTCCACTGATCAGCACCCCACTTACTGGTCAACCTGTTTCCAATCGTCTCCTCTTGGCCTGCTATCAGGCCGCACTGTTCATTGGTTCGTAACAGTAACTAAAACACGAATATTAATTATATGTTTAAGAATAAAAGTCATTTTATTCTATTTTATAAAAAGTTTAGAAACGCGTGTTTAATATATAAATTTACGTAAAAAACGCGCGAGCTTTTTTAAGCTATATATATATACCATTTTATAATCCTTTGTTTTATATTTATACCGTTTAGACTTTATTAATATTTTCGTTTTCAATATTAACTAAAGCACACGTATATTTTTTAAACTTTATTAAGCTACTTACGTTAAACTTACTGACGTTAATAACATTATAAACATAGGTTGTTGTGACGGCTGTGGCGGCCTGCACAGACCTTCCCACATGACAAGTGGATACCTCCCAATAGGGGAAGGATCTGACCTGAGGATCCCCTTAAAGGGGCAACCTCCCACTGTACCTATCTCTCTCTCTCTCTTCCTTTCCTCTCTAGTCTTGATATTCTCGTCAATAAAGTAATAGCTACTTGCTGCCGGCCATGTCCCAGCTCCTCAGTACGCTCGCCGTGACATAATATCAAGACTCCTCCATACCAGATCAGAAGCCTTGTCTTCAGATCACCATTGCAAGGAGTTTTGCCTCTAACAGTGACAGGTGCAGTGTCTCCGAACACCCACCTACCCCAAGACTTTATTATACACCTACCATTATCACTAATTCCATCCAACACACCGTGACGATGAGTACCATTATCATTCCAGAATATCAGGATAGTCCTGAAGGGACTGAAAGACCAGCCCAATCTACCCAAACATCCCACAACACCAATAACCATCCGCCAAAGAAAGAACCAAAGAAACAGAGAACCAAGGCACAAGGGGGCCAGAGCAAGCCAAACACGCGATCAAAGGCCGCTTTGACCCATAACAAATCTCCCTCAAACTCTTTATCGGCTCCATCTTCCTCCAGGACCACATTCCAGGACCCACAGACCCAGCCCATGGCACCAATCATGAGTGGTGATCTGGGCCGATCAGACGACCCCTTGCTCTTCAACCTGGATACGCTTACGGCAGAGCAGCTAGCCAGACTGCAAACCGAACTACACATCCGGATCCCGAGGTCTGAGCCACCAAGGCCCACAACAGAACGACAGTCTGTGCATTTCAGCACACCACGAGAAGAATGAGCCTTTCCTTCCTTGGAAACAGGTTCTCCACACACAACGACCCCTAGGTGGGACTCCTCAGCTTCTATGGCATTAACCTCAAATGCCATGCGACATTTCATCAAGCTGGCAGACCCTGTAAAGCTGAGTGACGGTCAAAACCCAACCCTTGAACAGTGAAAGAACAGTACCCAACGCAAGCTACGGACCAACTGGTGGCTCTTCCCTACAAAAGAATCAAAGTTTGATTGGTTTTATACACTAATAAAAGGTGATACAGTTATAGCATTGGAACCATTCATTTCTAAAGAGAACACCGAGTCACTTACTACCATTGAAGAGGTGTATGACCTTCTCCGGTCCTCTTACAGCAATCCCGATGCAGCTGCTCAAGCCAGGGATCAGCTCCATGATCTATGGATGGAACCAGCGCAAGACTTCTACTCCTTTTGTTCCACATGGGTTCTCTTAGCCAGCAAGGCAGGCCTGTCCCGGACAGAATGGAAGTATGAACTGAACCGAAAGCTGACACCACCCCTGAGGATACAAGTGATGGCTTCTTACCTTGACTCTAACGTTTCTTTCAACCAATTTCGGAACATCTGTTCTAGCAATGCTCAACAGCTTACAGAGATTGAACGGGTCAAGAAGCAGCGCCAAAGCTTCTTAAAAGCTTCCTCCCGCCATACCATCACTGCGGCACCTGGACACCAACAGTTCATCAGAAGCCTACCAACCCAAGCTTTGTCTAACCAAGCGATTGACACTACCTTCCAACCAGCAAGAGCATCACCTGATCAGAAGACTCCCCGTCTCTCTGCAGTCCCTGAAAGGAAGCACATTCACCAATCACACACACCCCACCTAGGCCTCCAATGTACTATCAATCAACTGGCTCACCACTCCCTTGAAATTCCATCACTTCAATCAGACCTCACTGGCTTGATAGGCGGCAGTACCTTTGTGATGACTGCAACCATCCGGTGGAATGGAATTGCAGTGCGTGTAAAAGTTTTGATTGATACCGGAGCAGAGGTTTATCTTTTAGGCAGCCTTTCAATCATGAGACCCTTGGCTCAACGATGGGAACTCCCTCAAATACATTTTGATGAGCCTGCCACCCTGAATGGCTTTGGCAAGGGGCATTCACAGGTTGTCAACACAGCGGTTACAGCAAATTTCCAGATTCAGGGAAGAACCTTCCGGGAAGCCCCTATCCTAGAAACAGAGTTTGGACCCAGCAAGAACTTTGACCTTATTGTTGGCAAGTGGTTTTTGGCTGTTTACAACCTCTTACCAGACTGCCGGCGGAACCGCCTATATTTCCTACCAGAACTACCTTTCCTTACCAACTGGAAGACCGACATCACCAACCCAGCTCGCCAGTGGTTAAGACAACGGGCTATCAATCCTCAGGCCCAGCAAGACATGCTCCATAGGGATTCACAGTGGGAAGAGCAAGAGAAACGCCCACAGAAGATACTACAACGCCCTCAAGTACTGGCTATATGGGCAAGAGACCATCATCAGTCCTTGCAGGCTATGAAAGACCAGCTAGCAGGACGGGACCACCCGGTATCCTTACAAAAGACTTCGCTACGCCAGGTTGTTCATCCCAAGGTTAGCAAAGACGCAATAATGAACGTTCTGGGCGCGGATATCCACCTAGTCTCAGGAAGTACCTTCTTTAGACAGGCTAGTCACCGTCAGAAGGGGCAACATCAACGACATAGCTACGGAAATATGTTCTCCTTTTCAGTATATGAGCTTGATCAAGCTATTGATTACTTTATTGATAAAGAGGACTTAGAGACTCAGCACCTGTTACGCAGCAGGCTTCCCCCAAAGGCACAAGATTTTATGGATGTGTTTTCTAAGACAGAAAGCAACGAGCTACCCCCTTTCCGCAAGGATATTGACCACAAGATCGAGCTCAAGCCAGGGGCTAAGACTCTTCGTCTGCACCCCTTATATAGCATGAAGGCCGACCACCTTATTGCCCTCAAGCAATATCTGACGGAACACTTGCGCAAGGAATGGATTGTTCCCAGTGGAGCAGAGTATGGGTCCCCTGTTCTCTTTGCCAAAAAGTCAAATAGAGGCTTGCATTTCTGTGTTGACTACCGCAAGCTCAATGCTCAGTCA